ACAGGGCTGAGCAGGCGAGATTTCTCGCCGGTGTGGGTGGGCGACCTTCCAGAGGCCGGATTGTCCCAGATCAAAAAGTACAGCGCACCGAACTGCAAACGTGACCGAGGCACAGGCAACGTTCCAGCAACATGCACGGTTGGGAGATTCCTCAACCCCCCCACATCTCTGCATCCAGCGAAGCAAAGGCCACTATCTCCGCTCAAGGACACCATCCGACGCAAGAAAAGGAGCTCAGGGAAAGGGCAGGATGTTTGGGGTTTTCTAAAAAATAAATTTATTTATTTGCTTTTTCAGATTAAAATTTTACAGTCACCTAGAAACAAGATTCTAAAGCATCTCCTGGACTTCTCTCCTCCCCTTTGTAATAATAATAATAATTATTTATTATTTATACCCCGCCCATCTGTCTATGTTTCCCCAACCACTCTGGGCAACTCCCAACATAATGATAATAATGATAAAATAATGATAATGCGACAAAACATCAACCATTAAAAACTGGCGGGGAGGAAGCAGGCTGTGTGTGAAGTTAAAATATAAGCCTGGCTAGCTTTCTGGTCAGGTGATTGCCTGGGTGATGGGCCATTGAAGAGAACAAAGATAAGGGGATCTGTGCGAGATGGCACCTGGGTATGGTTAGGCTCATATTATTTATTTATTTATTTATTTATTTATTATTATTATTATTATTAATATGCCGCCCATCTGACTGGGTTACCCCAGCCAGTCTGGGAAGCTTACAACAAATGAAAACAGCAAACACAGTAAAACATCAAACATTAAAAATTACCCTAAACATGGCTGCCTTCAGATGTCTTCTAAAAGTCAGATAGTCCTTTATTTCCTTGACATCTGATGGCAGGGTGTTCCACAGAGCGGGAGCCACCACCGATAAGGCCCTCTGCCTGGTTGTGAACTGCTCTGGGATCTTTGGGTTTAGGGTGGTATACAAATTTAATTAATAATAAAAAGAACAGAAGGGGGTGTTTAGGATATTATTGCTTACCCTTTGTAACACTTGGTATTAAACATGCCAATATCTAGTGCATGGATAGGAATATGTCTTTTTAAAAATCCACTACTGCATTTATCTCCCACCTCCTCTCCCAAGGAAGCGCGAGGCCGTGATTCCCCGCTGTAGCCTTACAACAACCAGGTGAGGTAGGTTAGGCTGAGATGGGGATTGGGCCCAGGTCACCCAGCCAGCCCCATGGCCAAGTAAGGATTGGAAGCCTCGTTTTCTCGGTTCTAAAATCCAGCACTGCAACCACTGCACCACATTGCCACTGCACTTGGGGAACGAGTTTGCTGTGGGAAGGTGCATGCATTCAGCAGTGATTTGGTCTGCCAGTGGTCACAGGTGTTTCAGAGGAGAGGTCCAAAGGATTGACTAATTCCCCGAGAAAGCATTAACCACTGTTATAAATTAGAGTTTTGTAGAGGTGCTTTCCGGCTTGTTTTGCCTCCTTGTGGTTAATTGTCGGTAATGAGGATGGAAGGGAGCCTCACAGTGTATAAGGGGAAAACGTTGCTTAAAGTGAATTTCACAGCAGATGGGATGGGATCATAGCTGTCAACGTTTCCCTTTTTTAAAGGGAAATTCCCTTATTCTGAACAGGATTCCTCGCAAGAAAAGGGAAAAGTTGACAGCTATGGATGGGATTGAGCTCACCTCCAGAGCTTGTCAGGACCAGCGCCAGATTTACGTTTAAGCAGTGCTGTGGGTTAAACCACTGAGCCTTGGGCTTGCCAATCAGAAGGTTGGTGGTTCGAATCCCCGCGACGGGGTGAGCTCCCGTTGCTCGGTCCCTGCTCCTGCTAACCTAGCAGTTCGAAAGCACCTCAAAGTGCAAGGAGATAAATAGGTACCGCTCCGGCAGGAAGGTAAACGGCGTTTCCGTGCGCTGCTCTGGTTCGCCACAAGCGGCTTAGTCATGCTCGCCACATGACCCGGAAGCTGTACGCCGGCTCCCTTGGCCAGTAAAGCGAGATGAGCGCCGCAACCCCAGAGTCGGCCACGACTGGACCTAATGGTCAGGGGCCCCTTTACCTTTAAACAAGCTATAACTTCGGGCCCCACTTTCTTGCCCCCCCCAAAAAAATTTTAAAGAAAAAAAACCTGGATGTACATTTCCAAAATATAAGATAAAAAACAATAAAACCTACATACAGCAACAGTGTTTCGTGTTGTGTAGGCTCCTATGCTTTAAGTCATGGGGCCCGCCTGCTAGCCTGCTCCCTAAAATATCACTGGTTTGCTCCTTTCTATGTATAGGGTGCCTACATTCTGCTATTTATAATTATTAGTAGTTTGCATCACATATTTACACCTATTATTTCATCTTATAGCAAGTTTCTAGAGATTAGATTGTGAGTCTTTGTAACTTGTGTTCCTAAAGGAGCTTTTGTTATTGCCAAACACCAATGTGTTTGCATTATTAAGTTTGTTATGAATAAAAAAAAATCATTTTAAGTTAGAGGCTTAATAATTATATCACTATTAATGTACTTCTTCTTAACTGTATTTCAGTTCCACAATTACTTTGATTAAATGCATATTTTGTGATGTGCAAATGGCTTGAGATACCTATTAGGTCCATAAATGACCATATAGCATATATTCAACACAAAAAACCAGGGACAATTTGTTGTGGACAAAGGACAGCTGGTCATATAAAGGGCCCCATTACCTTCAGTAGCTTAGGGCCTCATCAAAACTAAATCTGGCCCTGGTCAGGACTCAGCTGTGGAAATACAGCTGGAGGAAACCACTTTTGAGTGTTTCCTAGAAGCAAGTGCTGTATACATTTTACGAAATAAAGAACACAAAGGAATTAGGCAAGAGGGCTCCTGAGCATGTGCAGGTTCCAGAGAGGGAGAAGCCATGTTAAGTCAAGCAGCAGGGGAGGAAAACATAATAAAAGAGTTTTGCGGCAGGCACATACCGAATTAAGGTAGGGAGAAGCAAAGCAAAGAAAAAGAAGCTGCAAATCATTGAAATCCGAAAGACTGCAAATAATCTTAGTGTGGTGGAACCCGTGCTTTTTTCCCTGGGGGGATGCTGGGGGCACGCATACCCCTAAACATTTTGTGAATCTAAATTTGGCCTTATTAAGGGGCAGTATTTCAATATGAGTAGGAAAATGAGAGTACCCCTAAACATTTTTTTTAAGGGAAAAAAAGCACTGGGTGGCACTTGCCCTTTGCAAACTCTCTCCCTTTGCATGTCTTTATCCAACACCTTCAGCGGCCCTTTTAAGTGGATTTGAAATCGTTTTTATCTCTGACATTGCTGTCAATTCCACACGGAGCTGTTTTTAATTGTTTTGCCTCGGTGGAATTGCTTTCACGTGCGGTTTGGTTTTGAATTGTTTTTCTTGCTGATGTTTTCCCCCACATTAGGATGCAAGTCGAGCCCCGCTTACCTGGGAGCAAGACCCACTGGATTCAGCAGGGTTTACTTCCGAGTAGACCGTGGTTAGGTTAAATGCATGCCCCAAATGAGGTCCTGGGTCTTAGAGGAGGGGCTCTTGTCCATAGCTGCCAACATTTCCCTTTTCCCTTATTCCGGATAGGATTCCTCGCAAGAAAAGGGAAAAGTTGACAGCTATGCTCTTGTCTTCCCACCCAGAAAGATGCTGAATCAATCCTAAATTTTGGTTTTTATAGAAAGTGGGTCACGTTGGTTTTGAGGGTGTCACATTTGGGAGACGATGGAGGCTTGCTGTGCCACGGATTTGCTCAATCCTGCTTCCCCCGACTGACTTAAACGGGGCCTACTCATGAGTCAGTGGGCTCACAAGCCCCCCATCTTCTCCCTAGTTATTTGGAAGCAAAACCCTTCTGTGCAATGGAGCCAGCAGCACCTAACCCTTGAATCCGGTGGGACTTCCCCAGCTGGTCCAGAATGCAGACTCTGGCGCTGGCCTAGAAACGCACTCTGCACATGCTCAGAGGCGCTCCCGCCGGCTCGCAACGAATTTGCAGCAGGGCTGGGATGTGTGCAGAGCTGGATTTAGGTTTGATGAGGCCCTAAGCTACAGAAGGTAATGTGACCCTTTATATCTCCAGCTGTCCTTTGCCCACAACAAATTGTCACTGTTTAGTTGTTGTTCAATATATGCTATATGGTAATTTATGGACCTAATAGGTATCTAAAGCCATTTGTACATAACGAACAGGAGCCTACACAACACAAAACACTGTTGCTGTATGTAGGTTTTATTTTATTTGCTTTTTATCTTATACTTTGGAAATGTACACCCAGCCCTGTAAACATCTGAAAACGTTTGTAGGTTTGAGTTGAAATGTTATGCAATGAGAATATAAGGAACTGATTTACATTTAATGAGGGGGAAAACGAAAATAAGAGAGAAGGTAAAAAAAGGGGTTATAGAAATGCTAAGAATAAAGTAATTATGTACGGATGTCAGAAAGAGGTCCATGCTCTGTTAGAGCAATGCTTGAGTTTGTTAAACTATGTACGGAAACTGTGATTATGATAAAATTGAGAATGCAATAAAATTATTTAAAAGGAAATGTACTTCCAGTTGTTTTTTTCTTTAAATTTTTTTGGGGCCCCCAAAAGAGTGGGGCCCTAAGCTAGAGCTTGTTTTGTTGTTGTTTAGTTGTTTAGTCGTGTCCGACTCTTCGTGACCCCATGGACCAGAGCACGCCAGGCACTCCTGTCTTCCACTGCCTCCCGCAGTTTGGTCAAACTCATGCTGGTAGCTTTGAGAACACTGTCCAACCATCTTGTCCTCTGTCGTCCCCTTCTCCTTGTGCCCTCCATCTTTCCCAACATCAGGGTCTTTTCCAGGGAGTCTTCTCTTCTCATGAGGTGGCCAAAGTCTTGGAGCCTCAGCTTCAGGATCTGTCCTTCCAGTGAGCACTCAGGGCTGATTTCCTTCAGAATGGAGAGGTGTGATCTTCTTGCAGTCCATGGGACTCTCAAGAGTCTCCTCCAGCACCAGAATTCAAAAGAGCTTGTTTAGCTTATGCGTAAATCATGCGTGCGCCCTGGGGCTTTGCTCGGCGCCCAACCGGTTCCTCCTCTGCTCCCGGCGGGCTGGATCCTGCGGGCGCTTGGGCTCCGCAGGTGCGGAGGGGGCGCGGACCGGCAAGCGGGCGGGTTGGGGGCGCGGCCAGCGGGCAGGAGGCGGCGCCGGAGGCGGTATAAAGAGGCGGCGGCTCCTGCCTCGCTCTGCCTTCGCTCGCCCGGCTTCTCCATCGCCCTTCCGTGCGCCTCCATCACCGCCGCCGCATCTGGGCGCTCGCTGCCGACAGCCGCCTCTGCTTCCCTCGCGGGTGTTTTGTTCTCCCCCTCGGTATAAGGTGAGCGGGTGGCTGGGTGGGGGGTTATTTGGGTGGGGTGGTCCTTTTCCCTTCTACCCGCTCCAACCTTGGGTGGGGTTTCCTTTCCGGGGTCCCCTTGATACCCGGGGATGTGTTTTCTTCTCATTCATTCATCTTCCTATGCGCACCCCAAATCCTTTCTCATCACCCCCTTCCTGCCGCCGCCTTTATTCTGCCTGCCTACCAGCAAGCATCTCTGTGCGCCTTTGTTAGGGGGCTGGCCTGCCCTTCCCCAAAGCTTTACGCGTATATATTGATAATTATTTGTGTGTTTGTTGTAAATCGCTTTGACATTATCTGCGCAATTGAGATGCACAAGTATTTTAGATGTATACTTGTACATCTGTTTTTTAAAAAAACACCATAATTTTTATCGAGTTTTCCATTTTTCATTACACAAATCCATAACATAAAACATTGCTCAAGCAAAGCATCGACCGCCTTCCCTTCCTTTTTCTGACTTCCCAGCAACTTTTACAAATTATTCGCATTTCTATAGCCACTTTTTTACCTTATATCTTCTTTTGATACTTGCACATCGCAGTTGCACAGAAAATATCAAAGCAATTTGCAGCACGCACACAAACAATAATCACATACATAATAATGATAATTAATAATTAGTATTTATGCCACCCATCTGACGGGTTGCCCCAGCCTCTCTGGGCTGCTCCCAACAAAGTAATAAAAACATTGAAACATCAACCATTAGAGATTTCCTTGAGCAGGGCTGCCTACATAAAAACCACATAGAACTGTAAAAGTTTTATATGCAACTTTTTTCGCTCCACGGAGCTCAAGGTGGTGTTCTTGACTCTCCCCTCCCTCCTCATTTAATCCCCACAACAACCAGGTGAGGGAAGCTGGGCTGAGAGAAGAAAAGGACTGGCCCAAGGTCACCCTTTGTGGCCAAAGTGGGGGATTCGAACCTGGGTCTCCCAGGTCCTAGTCCAGGAGTCAGCAACCTTTTTCAGCTGTGGGCCGGTCCACCGTCCTTTAGACTATGCCGTGGGCTGGACTATATTTTGGAAAAAAAATAAATGGACCAATTCCTATACCCCACAAATAACCCAGAGATGCATTTTAAATGAAAGGACACATTCTTCTCATGTAAAAACACCAGGCAGGCCCCACAAATAACCCAGCAGTGGCGTAGCGTGGGGGGGTGCAGGGGGGCCGGCCGCACCGGGCACAACATCTGGGGGGGGCGCGGAAGAGACTCGAGTGCTAAAATCCACGGGTTAGGGGGCGCAAATTACTTGCCTTGCCCCGGGTGCTGACAATCCACGCTACGCCACTGTAACCCAGAGATGCATTTTAAATAAAAGGACACATTCTTCTCATGTAAAAACACCAGGCAGGCCCCACAAATAACCCAGAGATTCATTTTAAATAAATAATAAATAATAATAATAATAATAAATTATTTATATCCCGCCCTCCCCAACCGAAGCCGGGCTCAGGGCGGCTAACAACAATAAAATAATACAACATTTTAAAATCATAAAAGGACACATTCTACTCATGTAAAAACATGCTGATTCCCGGACCGTCCGCGGGCCGGATTTAGAAGGCAATTGGGCTAGATCCAGCCCCCGGGCCTTAGTTTGCCTACCCCTGTCCTAGTCTGATACTCTAACCCAGAGGTTTTCAACCTTTTTGAGTCCACGGCTCCCTTGACCAACTGCGTTCTTTCTCCGGCACCCCTGTGGGGCTCAGGAGCCCAGTTAGGTCACCCCTTGCCTGCAGAGCTGGCAGCCCCTCACCCCTTTTCGAACACCCTCCCTTGGGGAGGGATCCCTCAGCCTCCTCTCCCCTCTCCTTGGGAGTCCTCTGGGTATCTGCTCCTGCTGCCCCTGGTCTCTGAGCTGCCCCCGTCCTCACCCCAAAGAGAGGTGCCCCCTCACCCTGCCCCACAGGGCACTGGGACTTGTCTGTCCATTCCCAAAAGCAGGGCCTGGCAGACTGGCTGGGCTTCCTTCGCCCACTTCCTTGCTTACTCCAAGGCTGCCTCAGCTCCTGGCAACCAGCACCCACTGGCCAGCGCCAGAGCCACCATTCGCCTAGGGAGCTTGTAGCCAGGGCTGCTGCAACAAACAGCTGTGCAAGCTTTTGGGAGGCAGAGATGCGAGAGGGCATCAGAGGAGGGAGAGAAGGAAGGAAAGAGGCACAGAGGACAGTGTTGCCCATGGCATCCCGACCAGTTGAAAACCACTGCTCTGACCAGTACACTGCACTGCTTATAGCTATCACCATTTTTTCTTCTTCTTCTGCATATAAGGCTGCTGGGGGCAGGCTTTCTCCCTGAGCAAGCAGAAAATTTGGTGTTCCAAACTTTTGGTAGGCACCCATATAAATATACGTGGTATTATTATTATTATTAGTCAACTTGGAGCCCTGTGTGGCCAGCACTGCTGGGGCATAAGTTCAGTTCTCTAGGACAGGGATGGCAAACCAGGGGTTCTTCAGATGTTGCGAGACCCTCTGCCCCCCCGGTCCACTCTGGCCCTCATCTCGGATCACTGACCATTCTGCTGGTTGGGGTCAATAAAGCTGCAATCCAAAACATTTGGCAGCTACCAAATTGAGCTGTAGATTCTGCTCTAGATAGGGTTATTGTTTTGCAGGGAGTGTGTGTGTGTTATTCAATTCCCATTTAAAGGCAACTTTACCTAATTGTCGTTTTCCGAAACAATCCCTGAACCAAATCGCACTCATCCTTTGGCGCTTGCATCTCTCCAAATTTAGGCACTTGCCCCTTTCCCCTTTTCCAAATCTGTTACTCTTTTTTTTCTTTAAGCAATTGATTCTAACTTTTGTTCCTTGCAAATTACCAGATCCATCTGCAACCCTGGGGGAGAGGAGGGTGACCCAAAAGTTCTCTCCTTGGCTAAAAAAAAAAGCTACAGTTCTACCTAACTCAGAAAGCTTGCCAGTTAATTTTATTTTCCATGTTGCCAATGGAAAGAGGCTTAGCAAAGCTTGCTGGGGCCTGTTTTATGCCTCTTTTCATTGGGACTCATTGCAGATTACGGCCTTGTTTGGTGAAGATCTGTAAGATCTTGTTGCCTTCCTCCCTGGTGTGTTAAAGCGTGGCTAGCACAGGTGTGTGCCGGTCTTGCAAAAAGAGGATTCCCTTCCGCAAGGGCGATTGCAATGCTTCTTGCTGTTACATGTCCTCTCGTTGCAAAGTTCACCTAAACGGTTTTTATCTGGGTGCTGCTTTGCATCGGTGGACTTGAAGATGACTCTTGTTTTTTCCCGGTGCTTCTGCAATTATTGGGTGCCAGTCTAAACCGGTTCTGTCTTTGAGGATTGCTGGACTCCGGTGAGCTGTGAATTAGAAGCTGTTGCCGTCTAATGCAAATCTGAGGTGTGGCAAGGCCAGATAAGGGTTTAGCGTTGGCAGGCTGGCATCTTAGAAATCGGCTGCTCTCTGGCATCCTTCTATAATCCTGACAACCTCAACCTGCGCTGTTGCCCAAGGTTCTCAGACAGCTTCTCCTCTGTTCTTTTTTTGCAGGATAAATAGTATGATTATTAGGTGTCGTCTTTCAAACCGTCTTTCTATGGAAAGTAAAGGGACTCAGACTGTGGTGGTCTTGAGCAACTTCGACGAACGGGACACCTTTAGAGAATCCTGATCGACCTGCCGGCATCCTGAAATACTTGAATAAGGTGAGGACGGCTTTCTCGCAAAGCTCAGGTTCAAGCTGTGAGTTTGAGAACCACTATGGTGTAAAATCTCAGCTCTGTGTGTTGCAACAGTACACAAGTGCAGGGAAATATGGAGCTGGGTGCAATACTGTTCTTCCGAAAGATTTGAGTTTTTGAATAAGCTTTAAGTTTCTAGTCCTGTTTGGTTGTAAAGATACGCTTGGAAATACATGGAAGAAATCTCAAAAACGGTAGAGGGCTTGCTTCAATGAGACTTCTGGGGGATACTTGGCACAGTGGTACCTCGGGTTACAGACGCTTCAGGTTACATACGCTTCAGGTTACAGACTCCGCTAACCCAGAAATAGTACCTCGGGTTAAGAACTTTGCTTCAGGATGAGAACAGAAATTGTGCTCCGGCGGCGCGGCAGCAGCAGGAGACCCCATTAGCTAAAGTGGTGCTTCAGGTTAAGAACAGTTTCAGGTTAAGAACGACCCTCCAGAATGAATTAAGTTCTTAACCCGAGGTACCACTGTATATCTTGTTGCTTGCTCTGAATACCAGGAGAAAAATCATGCAGAGAGAAAAAACTTAGAATCCTCTCTATCTGAGACTTGTCAAACTGACAATTCAGAAGTCTATGTATTCTGCAGTGCAGTTCTAGGTATATTAACTTCCGGCCAACCTAGCAGTTCGAAAGCACGTCAAAGTGCAAGTAGATAAATAGGTACCACTCTGGTGGGAAGGTAAACGGCGTTTCTGTGCGCTGCTCTGGTTTGCCAGAAGCGGCTTAGTCATGCTGGCCACGTGACCCGGAAGCTGTACGCCGGCTCCCTCAGCCAGTAAAGCGAGATGAGCGCCGCAACCCCAGAGTCTGTCACGACTGGACCTAATAGTCAGGGGTCCCTTTACCTTTACATTTGGGTATATTAACTGCATTTATATCTGACCACGTTGGTTCTCAATATATTGCACAAGTTGCAGAAATTGGTTTTGTTTCCTGAGAATTCTGAAAACAGCGTTCCTGCTTTGATTTTTAACAATGGAGTAGGCATAGAGACCCCTGGGATACAAATGTAGGTCTGAAAATGTACAGACAGCACCTGTTTTAATCTAGCTGGCTTCTAGCTCAGCTTCTGGAGATTTTCAGTTGGTGTGGGATGGGATTTAATTGTCCCAGAAGGGCTCTCATTGCCCTGGGTAACCCCTTCCCTCTCTTCCCGAGTAGCAGAATAACTTAAGGAAACATTTGCTTGCTCTTTCCATAATGTGTACAGGATGAAAGGAAAATCCATTCAGTTATTCCTTGGCGTCTGATTAGCTTGGTGTAGCTGATCTGTTTACACCTTGCTTGCAAACCGTTTTGGGTTTTTTTGCCCTCCAAAATGGTATTTCACCATAAGGATACGATCTCGGCTCCTGATCATTAAGCTAGTTTTCTTCCAACCAATTCTGCCAGGCCAAGTTATCTCGGTCTCTCAGCAAAACACTGGCACTTTTGCAAATTGACAAAGCCGCCTCCTCAAGTACTTAACAAGCAATAACTCCCAAAAATCTTGTTTGCAGTCGCTGATGGGTTTGACCATCCCTGCAAGAATATGTGCTGCAGAAGCAGTTGCAATAAAATAAATATTTGGGGCGTCATCAGAGTACCCGTTGCAGAAGTTGTGTTTGGCTTCCTGTCCCTCTCTGAATGTATCGATTTGCTTCTACCAAGCATACATTTTTAAAAATCCATGGTGTTTGTATACCTCACCACAGAGAAGCTTTTGCCATCTGGGTGTTTGGGACTACAACTCCCATCACCCTCAGCAAGTACGATGCATGGAGATGGAGCTGTCTGGGCTGATGGGAGTGATAATCCAAAACATTTGAATGGCACCAGGTTCCCAAGTGCTTTTGGAGAGTTTATTTCAAGATAGTCACAATACTGGGCTTTTATTTAAAAATCACGCACTTGCGCTGCATCATGGGATAGGGAGAACGCTGGAGCCTATGGCACCATTATTGTGCCATAAAAGTGCCAAGTGCAAATTGCTATATTCTAATTCACCTGCCTCTGTGATAATGAACCCTCGTCATTCCAGGATATTGCAGGCACCATCTCATTGTAAGGTGCACTTTTGAGCTCAATTCTTATTTTCAGGGGTGGGGTGGGATCCTGGGAGCCGCACCCATGCAATACCAGAGTGAGAGTTGTAAAACTATATATTCCATTCTGTATTGCACCGGTAGGGTGATACAGAAAGACAGACAGGGAATAAGAAAGTGAACCGACTCCAGTTTGCTGTGGGGGAAAAGGCCATTCCATGATTTGCTTAATGGCCAAAATCTGTGGAGGGTATCCTTGTTGAGATGGTTGTAAACAAAAATTGCCCTTTTCCCTTATGGGGTATCCAAGAGCCCATATAGAGGCCTTACATAGGTTCCCTATTGGTAGGAGAGAATAACAGAGGCCAACCAGAGAATATTGAGAAGAAGCTTGATCTTTATTGATCTGTTGCAACAGGGCGCTCGCCTCACCCGCAGGAAAGGAGGAGGAACCCAGAACAATGGTGCCCAAGTCCTTATAAAGACTTTTGAAATTGCCACCCTGTAGATCAAGAACACCCCCAGAAACATCATGCATACATCACAGAAGGGGTGTAACCTAAGACCACCCCTCAGATACATCATACCTACATCACAGAAAAGGCGGTCTTAAAACAGAAATTTGAATGTGTTTTTCTCCTGTCGTTTATCTCCTGTTTGGCAGGTTACTTGACTGGATTGCCTGGGGAGCCTGGCCATTATTTTGTAGTGATAAATACTTAGTTCCTGGGCCAGGTCACAGGCTCACACCCTATTCATATCTTAAATGTGCCCTTAAGACAGGATTTGTGAGGGAAGAGACAATGGGAGGTTTCCCACTTTGACCTTGCAGAGAAAACATTTGCTTAGTTTAGGAATCAAAATGGTTCCAGGTTGGTCTTCCTGTGCTGATCTATGTACGTGCTTGGTTGGTACACTTATGAACATTACCATATATCTAAGACCATAAAATTCCTATCACAAGATCGAGGGCCTCATAACTTCCTGGGGGCCACATTCCAGCAGCAGAGGGGGGAAGCAGAAGTTGCGATGATGGATGTGACAACAAGGCTGCGTTTCAGCCGAGCGAAAGCTGTTGAGATGGGAGCAGAGGGAGGGTTGGTGAGGCTTGCAGCCTGAGCTTCCTAGATAAAGGCTAATAAAGGATAAATTGCATCCACTCCCAGGCGCTCCAGTTAGTCTGCTCAGCGAGAAAGCTGCAAAATGACATGGGTGGGCTGTCCCTGCTTCCCACGCGCAATGTGTGACTCAGCCGGGTTCCGGTTATCGCTGACTCAGTCCTGGCAGTAAATAGAAAAGGGAACTTCGGCAAAGGTCATTGCAGCAGAGTCCGTCTCCTTGCTAGCAACCAGGCTGCTGTTGCAGCATTTTGAGGTAGCATTCGGGTGCGGCTGCTTTGACCCGGGCGGACTGGAGTCATATCTCTATTATCTGGAGATGGCTTCTTATCAGATTTTCAGACCTGTGGATCAAAGGTCAGCAGGCCAAAGTTCCTTGCCTGAGTGCCTTTTTTATTCTTCTTCTTTTTGCATATGTCGCAGATGCATCTTCTTCACTCTCCACGTTTAGGACGGCCAGATTTGTATCCTGGCTGTCTGCAATTTGGATGCAAACCAAATCGTCCCTGTTTTTTTTTGTGTTGAATATGTGCTGTATGGTAATTTATGGACCCGATAGGTATCTAAAGCTGTTTGCACATAACAAAGTATGTACCGTATTTTTTGCACCATAACACTCACTTTTTTCCTCCTAGAAAGTAAGGGGAAATGTCTGTGCGTGTTATGGAGGAAATGCCTACGGGTGGCATGCCTACGGATTTTCCTCCTCTAAAAACTACGTGTGTGTTATGGTCGGGTGCATGTTATAGAGCGAAAAATACGGTATTTTATCAAAGTAATTGATACAGAAAAGAGCAAACCAGTGATAATTTAGGGAGCAGGCTAGCAGGCACGGCCCATTACTTACATCACAGGAGTCTTCACAACACAAAACACTGTTGCTGTATGTAGGTTTTATTGTTTTTTATCTTATATTTTGGAAATGTACATCCAGTTTTTTTTCCTTTAACGTTTTTTGGAGGCCCCCAAGAGAGTGGGGCCCTAAGCTATAGCTTGTTTAGCTTATATGTAAATCTGGCACTGAAGGAGCGTCTCCACCCCCATCGTTCTGCCCGGACACTGAGGTCCAGCTCTGAGGGCCTTCTGGCGGTTCCCTCCCTGCAAGAAGTGAGGTTACAGGGAACCATGGCAGAGGGCCTTCTTGGTGGTGGCGCCCGCCCTGTGGAACACCCTCCCATGAGATGTCAAAGAGAAAAACAACTGCCAGACTTTTAGAAGACATCTGAAGGCAGCCCTGTTTAGGGAAGCTTTTAATGTTTAATAGATTATTGTATTTTAATATTTTGTTGGAAGCCACCCAGAGTGGCTGGGGAAACCCAGCCAGATGGGCAGGGTAATAATAATAATAATAATAATAATAATAATAATAATAATTAATAATGGCACTGTACTGACTCCATCGCTCTAGAGGCTGCAGTGCTTTCAAATACCAGTTGCTGAGCTATTCTGGATTAGATTAGACACAATAGTTGAGCTTTCTTAAGGAAATTTGCCAAAAAAACCCAATACTGGGTTTCCCCAGACATTTTAGCTGATTATAGAAAATTCCGCCTGGACACTGTTTTGGATGGACAAATCCTGGATATGTCTGTACGTCCGGCAGCCCTAGTTCTGTTATTGTGGAGGAGACAGGAAGCTTTTGCCTCTGTTCTAGATTAATTGCAGATTGTTGTGTTGTTCAGTCTTGACAAACAGTGATTAAAATTAACTGTGCCTTGATCGAAACTTCGAACCGTCATTTAGGAAGGTGGCTTTTCAGAAAGCGTCATGAAGATGAACCACAGTTTAGGGAGTGGACGGCATGCTGAACTCTTAACCTAAATAGGAAGCCTCGAATCTCCTCGTGTATCAGAGGAGGCGAGGATCAGGAATAGGCAAGTGATCCCAGGCAGCAACTAGGCTGGTTCTGTTATCTCCAAATCAGCCGAGACAGCAGGATTTCCCAAACTTGGGTCTTGAGCTGTTTTTGGACTGCAACTCCCCTCCTCCCTGACCAGTGGTCCTGCTAGCTAGGGATGATGGGAGTTGTAGTCCAATAACAACTGGAGTTTGCTGCCCTGACTTTTAGAAGACATCTGAAGACAGCCCTGTTTAGGGAAGTTTTTAATGTTTGATGTTTTGTCACTATTTATTTATTTATTTATTTATTTATTTATTTTGTTGGCAGCCGCCCAGAGTGGCTGGGGAAACCCAGCCAGATGAGTGGGGTATAAACCAATAGTAATAATAATAATTTTTAACTTATACCCCGCCCTTCCCGGCTCAAAAACCGGGCTCAGGGCGGCTAACCACAAATATATAACACTTAATTATAAAAGTAGCATAAAATACAGTATAAAAACACGAATAACAATAACATTCAAAATTCAGAAATCACTTTAGGGGAAATAAGCATTAGATAATCCCCAGGGCTAGCTGGCTGAATTGGTCCTACTTGGACCAGCAAGGAGACCAGGGGAGAATTAGCTGTGGGGTCTCAGAGCGGGTGATCTTCATAAAAGGGGAGGGGGAGGGAAGAGAAGGGAAATAAAAGATCAGGCTGAATTCAAACTAAAGGCCAGGCGGAATAGCTCTGTCTTACAGGCCCGACGGAAGGAGGTTAAATCTTGCAGGGCCCTGGTCTCCTGGGACAGAGCATCCCACCAGGTCGGAGCCATCACTGAGAAGGCCCTGGCCCTGGTGGAGGATAGTCTGACTTCCTTAGGGCCCGGGACCTCTAAACTATGTTTTTTTATTATTATTATTTATTCCATGTTTTGCACCTGGATTTTAAGGGTGTCTTCTCTTCTCCCCAGACAGGGGCAGAGTTCATTGGTCTTGTCCACTTCCTACATCGGCACCCAGCAGCGACCCTCGCTGCTTCCTTCATCTCCTCCGAAAAAAACAGGCGTGAAGCTGGTTTAAAATGGTTGGATTCAAGCCCACCGACGTCCCTCCGACGGCTGCTGTGAAGTTCGTTGGAGCCGGGACGGCTGCCTGCATTGCAGACCTGATCACCTTCCCCCTGGACACGGCTAAAGTCCGGCTTCAGGTGAGCCCCAGCAGATGCCATACCCAGAGGTCGACTTTCCATGTCTTTTCCTACTATGCCTTTGTGGGCAGGGAGCAGCTCCCAAGTTAGGGTCCGGCACCCTGAATTAACGGTGCCCACTGTCCGCTTGGGAACAGCTGATGCGGGATTTCTGCAAAACCCATTATCGGTGAGATCAGTGTCATGTATGTAAAACTGGTGGGAACCAGCATAAGAGGAACTTCTTGTTGTTGTTGTTTAGTCGTGTCCGACTCTTTGTGACCCCATGGACCAGAGCACGCCAGGCACTCCTGTCTTCCACTGCCTCCCACAGTTTGGTCAGACTCATGTTTGTAGCTTCAAGAACACTGTCCAGCCATCTCATCCTGTCGTCCCCTTCTCATTGTGCCCTCCATCTTTCCCAACATCAGGGTCTTTTCCAGGGAGTCTTCTCTTCTCATGAGGTGGCCAAAGTCTTGGAGCCTCAGCTTCAGGATCTGTCCTTCCAGTGAGCACTCAGGGCTGATTTCCTTCAGAATGGAGAGGTTTGATCTTCTTGCAGTCCATGGGACTCTCAAGAGTCTCCTCCAGCACCATAATTCAAAAGCATCCATTCTTCAGTGATCAGCCTTCTTTATGGTCCAGCTCTCACTTCCATACATCACTACTGGAAAACCAGAGCTTTCACTATATGGACCTTTGTTGGCAAGGGGATGTCTCTGCTTTTTAAGATGCTGTCTTAAAAGTGAAAAACAGATCGAGAAAAGGTACAAGGAGGGCTTCATGTACAGTGTTACCTCGGGTTACATACGCTTCAGGTTACAGACTCTGCTAACCCAGAAATAGTACCTCGGGTTAAGAACTTTGCTTCAGGATGAGAACAGATATCGTGCCCTGGCGGCGCGGCAGCAGCAGGAGGCCCCATTAGCCAAAGTGGTGCTTCAGGTTAAGAATAGTTTCAGGTTAAGAACAGACCTCCGGAACGAATTAAGTACTTAACCCGAGGTACCACTGTATAGTAAAAAAAAGGGGGGGTTGAGGAAGTGTTTTCAAGGACCACAGTTGGATGGAGAAATGGGGCAATGGGTGATGGAAGGGAGTTGGCCAAAGGTTGAATAGCTAAGATGGCATATATATTATTCCAATAGAGTGTGTGTCCCAATGGAAAGCTCTTGCAGGCTGTCTGGACTCTGTCCTGCAATGCACTGCCAAACAAAGCCTGGCCAATTGAGAATTTGGTGTGAGCCTCCGTACTTGAGCCCCCAAGCGACGTTTTCCCCGCACAGCCCAGAGCTCCCCTTTCCTTTGCAAAGGAGAAGCCCTGTTGCAGGCTTGTGCTAGGAAGCCCCTCCGGGGGGTTGTATATAACCCTGCAGGGAAATCGCCTAGGTCAGCCGGCATCTGTCATCCAGAAGTCAAGGTTAGGCAGCAACTTTGGTGTCAGAAGTGGGACGCTCGTCGCTGAACACCAAAACAAGCGGCGTGTGCGAAATTTGCTGGACTTATGTGCAGGAGATCTTCCTGGCTGGCAAAGCCCCCTTGTAGGGAAAAGGGAGTGTTTGAAGAAGTCTTGTTCTTGAACCTAGGATAAAGTAGCACCAGAATGTTGCTTCTGAGCTCAGGCAGGCAGGCTCCAGTTCACTCTTAGGTTTCTTCATCCTGTTTCTCTCTCTCTCTCTCTTCTCTTCTCCTCCTGAGCAGATCCAAGGGGAGAACAAGGTGGCTGTGGAAGCCAGGACGGCGCAGTACAGAGGGGTCTTTGGCACCATGGCGACGATGGTTAAGAACGAGGGGCCCAGGAGCCTCTACAACGGGCTGGTGGCCGGTCTGCAGCGCCAGATGAGCTTCGCCTCTGTCCGCATCGGGCTGTACGATTCGGTGAAGCATTTCTACACCAAGGGCTCTGAGCGTAAGTGGACCTGGGCCTCTGGGGCCAAGGATCGTGGAGTTGGGAGGGGACCCCCAAAGGCCATCTAGTCCAACCCCCTGCAGTGCAGGGACCGCAGTTATGGAATCCCTGACGGAAGAACCTGAAGGCCAGCATGGGGGCCTGCCTTCCTAACCCCAGAGACAGTGGTTCTCAAAGGGTGGGGCAGGAAAGGGTGGCGGGAAGATTCAAGGGCAATCAAAGAAACATTTCAGTGTGGTATAGTATATAACCTTCAGGAGGTCTAAATTTCTTGCTAAGGCCTTACAAATCTGTGCTATAAAACTTAAAGAGGGTATGGGAAGTGATTTAATCTTTAAAGATCAAGGAGAAGAAATGTAAATCACTACAGTCATTCCTCAGGTTACAGACACTTCAGGTTGCGTTTTTTCAGGTTACAGTACCGGAAGGGGTTACTTCTGGGTTTCGGCGGTTGCACATGCGCAGAAGCGCTAAATCACGCTTTGCGCATGTGCAGAAGCACCGAATCGCAACCTACGCAGACGCGCTGCAGTGGGTTGCAGACGCTGCGGGTTGCGAACGTGCATCCCGCACGGATCACATCCGCAACCCGAGCGTCCACTGTATTATCATTATCATTATTTTATTATTATTTTATTATTTTGCTATCATTTTCATGTGTATAATTGCTGTTTGCTAAAACACAATAAACCGACTTATAGTACAGTGGTCCCTTGGTTCTCAAACTTAATCAGTTCCAGAAGTCCGTTCCAAAACCAAAGCGTTCCAAAACCAAGGCGCGCTTTCCCATAGAAAGTAAGGCAAAACGGATTAATCCGTTCCAGACTTTAAAAAACAACCCCTAAAACAGCAATTTAACATGGATTTTACTCTCTAATGAGACCGTTGATCCATAAAATGAAAGCAATAACCAATGTACTGCAGTCACACAATCAATCAATCAATCAATCAGTAGCTGAACTGGGTTCCACACAGTCACACAAAAAAGAGAGCCACAAAAACGCAAAATAAATAGCAAAAACAGGCAGACCTCAGCGTAACACTCTAAACAGAAGTGTTGCACTCAAAACGGAGCACTTCCGGCTTCCGGAAAAAGTTCGCAAACTGGAACACTTAACTTCCGGGTTTGCAGTGTTTGGGTTCCAAGTTGTTTGAGTACCAAGGTGTTTGAGAACCAAGGTACCACTGTAGTATAGTAAAAAAATGAATGGATATACAACCAGAAACAGTACATCTAAGCCTCTCTTCCAGAGTGTTGGCTATTCTTCTACAGTTCTCCACGACTTTTTGTCGCGAACAACTCTGTGACAAATAGGAAAGATCAGCAACGAGGTTCTTTGGGTCGATAAGGAGTTTGTTTGCCTCCAATTAGACCTAATATAAATGAGATTACCCGGCCAAAGCAAGCGCACACCTCTCAGTGACTTTGTACACTTACGGTACACGTGAAAGAGGCTCGTTTATAATTCTATTTTGGGAATGAATCCTGTTCTTACGTGGCTGCCTTCTCTGATTTTGGCAGATGCTGGTATCGGCAGCCGACTTCTCGCTGGCTGCACCACCGGAGCGATGGCTGTCGCCGTGGCCCAGCCGACTGATGTGGTCAAAGTGAGATTCCAAGCCCAAGCCCGGATGGAGGGCGGCCGGCGGTACCAAGGGACCCTCGACGCCTACAAGACCATCGCGAGAGAGGAAGGGGTTCGAGGCCTCTGGAAAGGTCAGTAAATTTAGGTTTTGGCGAGGGGGAACCAATGCTTCCAAAATCCTCCAAGCCATTATTATTTTGCTTATTGCATTTATATCCCATCTTTTCCTCCAAGTTGGTGTAACACAACGACGCTGTGAGGTAGGCCAAGGCCACCCAGTGAGCTTTGTGGCCGAGTGAGGATTTGAACCCTGATCTCCCCCAGGTCCAAGTCCAGTGCTCTGAGCACTATATCACAGTGGCTCAATTCAGAGCAGCTAACTCATGACCTGTTACAAAGAGATCTCGCCTTGGTGCTTCTTTCGCTTTGTTTTTTTTTAAAAAAAATTCTCTTTTACAATTTAAAATATTAAACAACCTTAAAATATCAACGGCTTTCCTTGGTTCATTTTGCATAACATGAATCCCTGCATATTTTACATAAACTAAACCATTCAGTTTTCCATTATTAATCCATCAAAACTTACACTGTTGAATTTATCAAATAATTTTTGCTTCCGCTTTGTCTAGGTACCTCCCCTAATATAACCCGGAACGCGCTTGTGAATTGCGCTGAGCTGGTGACCTACGACCTGATCAAGGATGCTCTGCTCAAGTACAACCTCATGACAGGTGAGGAGCGATGGACAGGACCGGGCTGTTGCTTGAAGGAGCTCCTGGCTTTTGAGATGCGTGGAGGGTCCACCTCTTATGAGGTTCCTGCAAAAGTCACCCACGCTGTGGTGGATCCTTGCCGCGGATCACCAAAGGGTTCTGACAGTTTAATATCACCATTTAAAATTGCTTATTGCTGCTTATTTCCTTGACATCTGCTGGGAGGGCGTTCCACAGGGTGGGTGCCACCACCGAGAAGGCCCTCTGCCTGGTTCCCTGTAACTTCGCTTCTCACAGTGAGGGAACCAGCAGAAGACCCTCGGAGCTGGACCTCAGTGTCCAGGCAGAATGATAGGGGTGGAGACACTCCTTCAGGTATACTGGACTTGCATTACTAAGCCAACATTGTCCATTTGCAAGCAAGTTTTGATTTTTTATATATCTTTATCAATCAGGCAGAAGGAAAACAATTTTTTTTTTTAAGAAAACCTTTTATTGGATGGGAGAGGAACCTGGGAAGGAAGCTGAGTAAACCTGCCAGGGTGTATTTCAGTACACCCTGGCAATGGCGTGAGTTCGCCTGCAGCTAACTTCAATGTCACAAATAGAAAAAAGACAGTCACGGAACTGAGAAATTGCACAAAACAAATGAAAAGCCTAAAATAGAACAAAACCTTTAACGAAGAAAATTAGGTTTTTCTAATTTTTTTCCCTTAAGCTTTTTGATTTTTATTATTTAGTGGATTTCCACAAGATAATATTTATAGTCGATTACTTCTCACGGTTTTCACGGTATTTCATTTGTTTTGTGCAACTTCCACGTCACGAGCTTTCGGCTTTAGCTTTGTCGTGTTGTTGTCCAGCCACATATTCCGCAATGGCTAGCTTTGGGGAAGCGATTTGGTTTTCTTCCCGGCTCACGATGCCTCCCTCCCGCTTGTCCTTGCAGACAACCTCCCTTGCCACTTCACCTCTGCGTTTGGAGCCGGTTTCTGCACGACTGTCATCGCCTCCCCTGTCGACGTAGTGAAGACCAGATATATGAACTCTGCCCCCGGCCAATACGGAAGTGCCGTGAAGTGTGCCCTCGCCATGCTGAGGAAGGAGGGGCCCCTCGCTTTCTACAAAGGGTGAGTCTCCATCTTCCTTGACGGCCCCCGCAGGGCAGGACGTTGGCGGGAGCTGGGAATTAGGGCGAGGCGACTGGGCTGTCCGCAACCATTTGGGGCTGGAGACCCCCGGGCAACGGAGGCCAGTGCCCCCACCAGTCTCAACCCGCCTTCATCCAGCCCCTGCTGGCATGTCTTCTTCCTTGCACCCAGCCAGTGCCAGATTTACGTAGAAGCTAAACAAACTATAGCTTAGAGCCCCACTCTCTTGGGCCCGCCCCAAAAAATATACAGCCATAACTCGGGTTAAAGATGCTTCGGGTTAAACCTTTTCAGGTTGCGTCCCGCGGCGACCCGGAAGTAATGGAACAAGTAACTTCGGGGTTTCGCCACTCGCGCATGCTCTCAAAATGACGTCATGAGCAGAAGCAGCAAATCGCTATGCGCAAACGCAGGTTGTGTTCTTCTCAGGTTGTGAACGGGGCTCCGGAACGGATCCTGTTCGCAACCAGAGGTACCACTGTGCTTCTTCTTAATTGTATTTCACAATTCATATACTTCTTCTTAATTGTATTTCAATTCAGCAATTACTTTGATAAAATGCATATTTTGTTATGTGCAAATGGCTTTAGATACCTGTTAGGTCCATAAATTACCATATAGCACATGGGTAGGCAAACTAAGGCCCGGGGGCCGGACACAGCCCAATCGCCTTCTCAATCTGGCCCGTGGACGGTCTGGGAATCAGCGTGTTTTTACATAAGTAGAATGTGTGCTTTTATTTAAAACGCCTCTCTAGGTTATTTGTGGGGCACAGGAATTCATTCCCCCCCCCCAAAAAAAATACAGTGGTACCTCTGGTTGTGAACGGGATCCGTTCCGGAGGCCCGTTCGCAACATGAAAAGAACACAACCCGCAGCGGCGTGTCTGTGCATGTGCGGGTTGCGATTTGCCACTTCTGCGCATGCGCATGACGTCATTTTGCTCATCTGCGTGAGCAGCAAAACCTGGAAGTAACCCTTTCTAGTACTTCTGGGTCGCCGTGGGACGTAACCTGAAAGAATGTAACATGAAGTAGACGTAACATGAGGTATGACTGTATAGTCCGGCCCCCCACAAGGTCTGAGGGGCAGTGGACCGGCCCCCTGCTGAAAAAGTTTGCTGACCCCTGATACAGCATATATTCAACACAAAAAACAGCGACCATTTGTTGTTGACAAAGGACAGCTGGACACATAAAGGGCTCCATTACCTTCAGGAGCTTAGGGCCTCATCAAACCTAAATTTGGCCCTGCAACCAGCCCAGGGGGCGATTCCACCTTTCAGCTTCTTCCTCCTCCTCCTCAGTCTTGATGTTTCCCTTTGTGCAATGTGGGAAACAGGAGGAGGAAGATGGGGACAAGACAAAGAATTGCCATTATTTTCCATGCATAAGACGATTTTTTTCTTTAAAAAAAAAAGGCAAAAATTGGGGGTCTACAAGTGAAGATCTCACATAAATTATTTAATGCGTTAACACGAATAGAAGTTATAAATATTGCAGCTGGTGCATAAGGGCTTGCTATTATGACTGTAATGGAATAGAAATCAATAAGGTTTTGGAACGCAGAAACAAAGTGAATCATCAAACCGTCAATTCTAGCACGCGGCAGGCCACCTAAATTATATAATTTGGCACCTGAGAGATTTGTATTAGGGAATGGTATTTTAATTCGGCACTGCTATTATGAAGCTATCATTGGATTATTGTAATTGAAAAACAAATAAAAATTATTATCAACAATTGGGGGGTCGGCTTATACACGGATAGTGAATGCGGGGGGGGGTGATTGGCATCAAGTTAAAGGAAATCCCCCCCCAAAGGCTCAACAACTCAAGCAATATTGATTTATTAATTTTGGGTTTTTTAAAAAAAGTCTTATATATGGGGGCGTCTTATACATGGAAAAATACAGTAGTTGGCTCTGCCTTTTATGGGCTCTGCTGCCACCTAGTGGCAGGCTACTTGCCTTCTACCCTACCAGTCTCAATGGGCACCAGCCATCGTTGCCCATGGCTACCTGTACCTTGGGATCCATGCTCCGGGTTTTTTCTGTTGCCTCCCAAAGAGGCAGATCCCTTGGCTGCCAAAGGACGGTTATCCTTTGAACTGGGGAGGAAGATGCTCAGTTGAGCAACTTGCCACTCTTGAGATTTTTTGTTCCAACAGTCCTTTGGGAACTATTTTGTGTTTTATTGTTATTATTATTATTATTATTATTATTATTATTATTATTATTGGCTTTTTATAATGCTGTGCTGGTTTTTTATCATCATCAATATTCTAATAGATTTGGGGTTTTCCATATTGTTTTAATTTTGTTAAAATTGCTTTTTAGCCGTTATCTTTGATATGGTTCCTAGCTTTTGTGTGTGTGTTTCATTTGCACTATTTGAATTTTTGCAAAAGCTGCCTTGAAGTCCTGGCCTGTGAAAAGGGCAGGGTGGTGAATAGATATAATGAATAATACATCCATCCAGCTTCAAAGGCCAGGGTAAAGAGATGTCCACACAAGACATCTCCATTTCATGGTCAGATGTGCACCTAGTTTTTAAGGCAAGGTGGAATCTGGGGGCCACTGCTTGGGTTTTCAGGTGCCCCCTGAAAAATTTTTATTTATACCCCGCTCTTCCTGGCCCAAAAACCGGGCTCAGGGCAGCTAACAACAGATTTAAAACACTTAATTGTAAAAGCAGCATAAAATACATATAAAAACATGAATAACAATAAAATTCAAAATTCAAAAATCAATTTAGGGGAAATAAGCATTAGATAATCCCCAGGGCTAGCTGGCTGAATTGGTCCTACTTGGGCCAGCGAGGAGGCCAGGGGAGAATTAGCTGTGGGGTCTCAGAGCGGGTGATCTTCATAAAAGGGGAGGGGGAGGGAAGAGAAGGGAAGGGAAATAAAAGATCAGGCTGAATTCAAATTAAAGGCCAGGTGGAATAGCTCTGTCTTACAGGCCTGATGGAAGGAGGTTAAATCCTGCAGGGCCCTGGTCTCATGGGACAGAGCATTCCACCAGGTCGGGGCCATCACTGAGAAGGCCCTGGCCCTTGTGGAGGATAGTCTGACATCCTTTATAACAGTTTGCAATATAAAAAACCAAAAATACATCTCTTAATAACAAAAGCAATAACAGGCTCTCCTCTCATTTTCTATTTGTTCTAACACCAGCTCTGTTTTTCTCCTTTCCCTGATCTCTCTCCGTCTCTCAGCTTCACGCCCTCGTTTTTGCGGCTGGGATCCTGGAACGTGGTGATGTTCGTGACCTACGAGCAGCTGAAGCGAGCCATGATGGCGGCCCGCGGATCGCGGGAGGCCCCCTTCTGAGCTAGCGGGCGGGCGCATTTCACAGATCTCGCGCATATGCGCACGCAACGGATCCTCGATCTAGATCTCCCCCTCGCAGAACCTTCTCCCTCGTCTTTTCTCCCTTATTATCATTTTTTAAAAAACTACTCCTGTCTTAACGTTTATGTGGCTTCTGTTTCGTTACAAACAGAAGCTCCTGGCTGCTTTTAAAAAGTGATTTGTTCTTAACGTGTTACGGTCCAGTCTACCTTTCTCCTTTCAACTGCGGGACGCGAGTGCTTTATTAAGCTCTGAGGAATTTAGACCGCAGGGGCTCAACTTGCAAGAGAGCTCCCGTTCCCCTTTTCTATCTCTGACATCCGCACAGAGTTATAAATTTGTGCTTTAGATATTCTATACTAGATAACGTCAGTTACCCCCGTTACGCAGGGCTGTGCTTTTTTTCCCCCAAGCAGAGATGCCTGGAATAATTCACAAGTGACTAGCCCAGCCTTGCTCCAGCCTGGCTTGGGTCCTGATGGGACTTGTAGTCCAAAACAAATGGAGTGCACCAGGTTGGGGCAAGGTAGCGCTTGCTGCTTGCTGCTTGCTGCTTGCAGGTAGCTCTGACCAAGCAAGGTGCAGATTTCTGCCGATTTATTTATAAAGTGCTGGCGATTTGCAAGCAGAGTTTGGGCTGCCTAGCAATCCTCCCGTGCTTTTGCATTTTAATAAACTTGTTTTTAAAAGTTGTTTATTCCGTGCAAGGATTGCTTCCAGTCTTAGAGCCCCCCAGAAGGTGAGGAAAACACCCTCCGTGCTGTACGGTGTCTCCCCACTTTATAGAGAGACGGCAAGGGACCCTTACCTTGTCTGTACACAAACATCTGCCACTGCTTTGTCCCTCTTGAGTCAAGGTCAGTTTCAGGCAAACTGGGTTTTGTTTGGAAACCGTTAGGCATCTCACAAGGCTGTCGGCCTAAGCCCTATAGCTCCAGTTAATTGTGTGGCTGTCCCATTGGGCAGAGAGAAAAAACAGTAGACATTTCCTAGGCTTCGCCAAAAGCCTGTATTTATTTTATTATTTAGGGTTGCCTGTTTGCGACTTGGCAAATCCTCCTGGCCAGTGGTTCTGTCTCCTTGGCATCAGGCTTGCTGGCAGGAGATGCTGGCTGGTGGAGAGGGAATTTGGCACCCTCACCCTCCTTGGATAAAGGCTTCTCCGGCAAACAGGAAACCTTTCCGGGTCCCAATCCACCAGCCCAGGCGGTCCTTGCAGTCTGCATTCTGTTCCGGGAAGCGACTCTCTCCTTTAGGATTTTCTGCAGAGCTTAATAAAGCACCTTGTGTCTCGGTTAACGGTGCACAACTTTAAAAAAACTTTCCAAGTAGAGAAAAATGCATTGTGAGGCTTCTTGTGTGTTTTAACATTTCGGTGGCGCTGTTTGTGATGGTGGAAAGTGGCGGTGGATTTTTATTTTAAGCACCTTTTGTGTTGTGCATGACTTGTTTTTTAAAAATAAAGCTAAAGTACAAAGCTGCCCCTGTACTCGTTCCTGCAGCGTCTTTGGGTTTTTCCATCGTGGGTGCATATCTGATTCCACAAGGCAGCTCAAATCGACCAAGCAAAAGGGGAATACCTCCACCTGTGGGAAGAGAGATCTGCAGATGGAAGCAACCTTCAAGGGTGTACAGTGGTACCTTGGTTCTCAAACTTAATCCATTCCAAAACCAAGGCATGCTTCCCCAAAGAAAGTAATGCAAAAGGGATTATCCATTCCAGACTTGTAAAAACAACCCCTAAAATAGCAATTTAACATGCATTTTACTATCTAACAAGACCATTGATCCATAAAATGAAAGCAATAAACCATCTACTGCAGTCACACAATCGATCAGTAGCTGAACTGGGTTCCACACAGTCACAAAAACAAAACAAAAAAGAGCAGCAGAAACAAAAATGCAAAATAAATAGCAAAAACAGACAGACCTCAGCGTAACACTCAAAACAGAAGCATAACACAAAACGGAGCACGTTTGGCTTCTGAAAAATGTTTGCAAACTGGAACACTTACTTCCGGGTTTGAGGTGTTTGGGTTCCAAGCTGTTTGAGTACCAAGGCGTTTGAGAACCAAGGTACCACTGTACTACAGATCTGTAAACACGGCTCTGCATTGTCGGCCTCAACTTGTTGTCATTTAGTCGTGACCCCCTGGACCAGAGCACGCCAGGCACTCCTGTCTTCCACTGCCTCCCGCAGTTTGGTCAAACTCACGTTCGTAGCTTCGAGAACACTGTCCAACCATCTGGTCCTCTGTCGTCCCCTTCTCCTTGTGCCCTCCATCTTTCCCAACATCAGGGTCTTTTCCAGGGAGTCGTCTCTTCTCATGAGGTGGCCAAAGTATTGGAGTCTCAGCTTCAGGATCCGTCCTTCCAGTAAGCACTCAGGGCTGATTTCCTTCAGAATGGAGAGGTTTGATGTTCTTGCAGTCCATGGGACTCTCAAGAGTCTCCTCCAGCACCATAATTCAAAAGCATCCATTTTTCAGCGATCAGCCTTCTTTATGGTCCAGCTCTCACTTCCATACATCACTACTGGGAAAACCAGAGCTTTCACTATACGGACCTTTGTCAGCAAGGTGATGTCTCTGCTTTTTAAGATGCTGTCTAGGTGTGTCAGCAATTGTGCGGGTTGTGGGGCTGTGGGTGCTTCTCCCCGGACCAGCAGCTGCAAAGAAGGGAGGACCAAAATCTGGCAAAAATAGTCAGCTTTTATTTCTTTGAAGAAAAGGGGGTCAAGGAAAGGAGCAAAGGGATGGGCTTTCGGGGGGGGGCGTTGCTCAGGTGAGGAGGGCGTGTCTCAGCATCTCCTTCTTGGCCGGGGTGAGCCTTTGGGGGAAGAGGATGTCAAAGTACATGATGAGGTCCCCCTTGCAGGTGGGGTCGCTGGCCAGGGGCATCCCCTCTCCTGGCACCACCTTGAAGTACTTGGGGCTGAAGGGAAAAGAGAGGCCTTAGTCAGATTCAGTGGCTGGGGGGGATAGAAAAGGGGAGACACCACAGGGGATTGAACCTAGGGCCTTCTGCATTCGAACTGGGTGCTTAATAATAATAATAATAATAATAATTTATTATTTATACCCCACACATCTGGCTGGGCTTCCCCTGCCACTCTGGGCGGCTCCCAACAGAATACCAGACTTTTAGAAGACATCTGAAGGCAGCCCTGTTTAGGGAAGCTTTTAATGTTTGATGCATTACTGTATTTTAATATTTTGATGGAAGCTGCCCAGAGTGGCTGGGGAAGCCCAGCCAGATGGGCGGGGTATATATAATAAATTGTTGTTGCTGTTGTTAAAAATAGAATCAAACATTAAAAGCTTCCCTAAACAGGGCTGCCTTCAGATGTCTTTTAAAAGTAAGATAGTTGTTTATTTCCTTGACATCTGGTGGGAGGGCGTTCCACAGGGCGGGTGCCACCACTGAGAAGGCCCTCTGCCTGGTTCCCTGTAACTTGGCTTCTCGCAGGGAGGGAACCACCAGAAGGCCCTCAGCGCTGGACCTCCGTGTCCGGGCTGAACGATGGGGGTGAAGACGCTCCTTCAGGTATACAAGGACAAGGCCGTTTTAGGGCTTTCAAGGTCAGCGCCAACACTTTGAATTGTGCTCGGAAACGTACTGGGAACTAATGCAGGTCTCTAAGGACTGGTGTTATGTGGTCTTCGCGGTTGCTCCCAGTCACCAGTCTAGCTGCCGCATTCTGGATTCCAGCTCTACAACTCTTAGGATTCCTGGGATAAGGACTGTGGGCTGCAGGCACTTACTGTACGATGTCATTGAGAGGGATGTTGAGCAGCCTTTCGTCAAGGGTCCTCACATCCACGGTGCACCCGGTCAGAGCCTGCAAAGCAAAGTGCTGGAGGCTGAGAGCAGGCAATATTTATTAGATCTAAATATTGCCTTTCATCGTAAGATCTCAGGATGGTTCACAGAATACCAAGGTTAAGGGAGCCTAAATTTTGGGCAGCTGAGGCATGCTTAATTTCTGAATTACAATTGGAGTCTCCTGTATGTGTGGTCAGGGAAAACACAATGCTGTCCAGGGTTGTAAAGACTGCGGGGAGAATAATTGGGTGCACTCTTCCCACCTTGGACCAAATCTATGCTGCCAGGTGCCATAAGAAAGCTGCAGAGATAGCGCAGGATAGTGCGCACCCCGGAAATGATCTCTTTCAGCTTCTGCCTTCTGGAAGAAGGTCCAGGGTTATAAAGGACTAGCCGCCTGAGAAACAAGTTTCTATCCAAATGCGATTTTGGTTTTAAACACAGTGTAAGGTAGTCTTAAGGCTGCGGGTGGCGCTGTAGGTTAAACCACAGAGCCTAGGGCTTGCCGATCAGAAGGTTGGCGGTTCGAATCCCCGCGATGGGGTGAGCTCCAGTTGCTCAGTCCCAGCTCCTGCCAACCTAGCAGTTCGAAAGCACATCAAAGTGCAAGTAGATCAATAGGTACCACTCTGGCGGGAAGGTAAACAGTGTTTCCGTGCGCTGCTCTGGTTCGCCAGAAGCAGCTTAGTCATGCTGGCCACATGACCCAGAAGCTGTACGCCAGCTCCCTCAGCCAATAAAGCGAGATGAGCACCGCAACCCCAGAGTCGGCCACGACTGGACCTAATGGTTTACTTAAGGTAGTCTCTATGGGAGTATATTGTATTTAATTATGGGGTATCAGAGTTTTTAGGGGGCTAACCAGGCTGGGGTAGCAGGCTTGGTGGTTTTTAAATGTCTGATGTAGATATTTTCAATTTCGTTGTTCTGTATGGGACAATGACAATAAAGATTATTGTATTGTAGCGGAGTCACACTTTGACTCCTGCGTACAGAGAAGCTTGGCTCTCGGCTTACGTTCAGCATTTTGAGGACGGCTGGCTCTGTGGAGGAGTCCTTACTCCCTCTCCCTGCGTGAGTGCTGGGCCTGCCTCTGGAAGCAGAACGGGGCTTCACACAGAGAAGCGACAGGAGGCCTCCTTGGAGGGGTGGCGGCTACAATCCTAAGAATGAATGGGCTCTGCAGTGACACTGAGCATGCGGATGGAAGAGGATTGGCAACGTCAACAAAGGCAGGAAGGGACACGCACTTCTGGCCCCCCCTAGCGCTTCCCTCCATGCAGGCAGGCTGCGGGAATTCAATTCTATCTGTGCTCTTCAAATACGGCACTGAAATTCCCCCGTGAGACATTTCGTTCTCAAGCTGCCAGAGCTCACTGGTGAGAAAGAAAGGAAATCGAGGCTGGAGCCGAGGTGTCGGCCTTCAGAAGAGGCTGCCCGCTGCCCCTCTCTGCGAGTCTCTGCTAGGCAGTCTTCCGTTAGCTCAGGAGGGATCCTGAGAAGAGGGTTAGTCTGCTAGACTCCCCAGTAACATATAGTAAGTGGAAGGGGCATTATTAGTCAACCTGGGGAGGAAAAGAGGGCTGGTTTGCTCCCAGAATGCCTTCCTTACCTTCCCCAGAGGGAGTGGGGCCACATAGATCAGGTTATCGTCTTCTCTTTTAAACCTGGGATGGATCTTCTCCTTGACGATGAAGATGATGTCTGCCGGGATGATGTTTGGGCCCTGGAACGAAACGCAGGAAGAAGCCCAAAGGGCGTGTGGGGTACAGACCCAATGGTTGTCCCCGGCATTTGCAGGGAGGGCAGAAAGTAGGACCCACTGACCCCTTTGCCCACCGCAAGGTGGGAAGTGTGCCCACACAGGGGCAAGCCCGGTCCCACCTCCCCACCCCCAAAGCAACCAAGTGCTATACCGGTTGGATTTCAGCCTGACGTTATAAAACCCGTGGCTGCAGTCCGGAGAAAAACTGCTCATGCTACAGCTATTGAGGCTGGGGGCAGGAGCGCTGCCCCTGCCCGGAAGCAAGCCCTGTGAGAAGTTTTTAGAAGAGGAAAACAAGAAATAAAATATTCTGAACGAAACAGTGGATGTATGATTTTTGTGGTTCATGCTCTGGCCACAGACATGTGATCTGACGGTGAGTTTGGGGTAGCCCAATGCAAAAATCCTGAGAATCCATGTGGATCCGTGCTTTGTAACCACGTTTTTGCGCCCCACGAAACAGTGGGTGTGTGATTTTTTTTGGTGCAGGCTGTAGCCATGGACATGTTATGTGATCTGATGGTGAATTTGGGGTGACCCAATGTAAAAATCCTGAGGATCCATGGGCTTTTACCTCCCCCCTCCCAGGCAGCCTCCTTTATCTCTAGCGTCCCTTATCTCCCTCCCAATCGCTTGCCGATCAGCTGTTTCCTTTCAACACTCCCTTCCCTCTTGTTTGCCTTAGTGTCTTTTCCTTAGCTGGAGTAGTTTTTTGCTCCTCCTTTTCTTCTAATTTCTCTCCTCACTGCTTTAGTCTTCCTGTCTCCTCTCCTTGCAAGTTCACTGTCTTTACCTCCCCCCTCCCAGGCAGCCTCCTTTATTGCTAGCCTCCCTTATCTCTCTCCCCGATCAGCAAACAATCAGCAGCTTTGTTTCAACACCCCCTTCCCTCTTTCAAAAAAAGAAAGCATCATCTGCTTTTCTCCCCTGGGCAATTCGGCTCCAGGGACCACGCATTCGCTCCAGAAGATGCACAGACATTTCCCCTTACTTTTTAGGAAGAAAAAAGTGTATCTTATGGAGCGAAAAATACGGTACCTCTCCAGTTTCGTGGGGACTAACTTTAGCACAGGGCCGGGTGAGGTAACCCTTGAGTCGGAATCATTCTCCTCGTAACAGCAAATATTGAGATGCAATCGTGGGCAGGGGCTCTCCAAGATTTAAGCAGCCTCTCTCTCCTCCCTCACTCCCAAGGTGGCATTACCTGGTCTCCCTCCTCTTGAAAGGTGATCCTGGTTCCTTGTTTCCACCCTGGGCGCACATCGATGGTCAAGATCTTGTCTTTGATGGTGGAAGCGTGGCCGTCGTCATTCATGACCTGAAGGGTTTAGAGAGGAGTCGTGGAAGTCCCTGGGTGAGTGGCCGCCGAGACCATATACAGTGGTACCTCGGATTAAGTACTTAATTTGTTCTGGAGATCCGTTCTTAACCTGAAACTGTTCTTAACCTGAAGCACCACTTTAGCTAATGGGGCCTCCTGCTGCTGCCGCACTGCTGGAGCACGATTTCTGTTCTCATCCTGAAGCAAAGTTCTTAACCTGAAGCACTATTTCTGGGTTAGCGGAGTCTGTAACCTGAAGCGTATGTAACCCGAGGTACCACTGTAACACCAGTCCTGAAAGACCTACATTGGCTCCCAGTACGTTTCCAAGCACAATTCAAAGTGTTGGTGCTGACTTTGAAAGCCCTAAACCGCCACAAAGGCCCAGTAGACCTGAAGGAGCGTCTCCACCCCCCATCGTTCAGCCCGGACACTGAGGTCCAGCGCCGAGGGCCTTCTGGCGGTTCCCTCCCTGCAAGAAGTGAGGTTACAGGGAACCAGGCAGAGGGCCTTCTCGGTAGTGGCACCCGCCCTGTGGAACACCCTCCCATCAGATGTTAAGGAAAGAAGCACCTAAGGAGTTCCTTTCCTTACCCTGCGAGAAATCTTGATTTTTTTGGTGCATCCGTAGAACAAGTCCTCCAGCGAAAGGTAGAGATCTCTCTCGATCGGAGGGTCCTTCTTTTTCACTCCCTTCCCTCGCAGCCCCCCAAATGCCATGTTGACTTCAGCCCCTTCTGCAGTGTAGAACTCTAAGCAAGAAAAAAGTCAATATCGGGGAACAGGCGTGTAGTGATTATTATTTCTTTACACATCACTAACTAATTTCTTAACACATCACTAACAGCACTAGGGCTCTTAACCTGCTCCCTTACTCCCCTGTAAGGAGAGTAAGGGAGTTGCCGCCTGGCTTTTGATAACCTCACCCCGTGGAAAGGGCTCTGATCTGGAAAATGCCCGAAAAAAGGGGAGATCTGAGATGAGCGGAGTATCTTGACAAAACGCGGCGCTTGGGCCTACCGGCAAAGGGGTTGTCTCCTCCAAAGAAGTCCCGGAAGACCTTCTCGGGGTTTCCGTGGAACACATAGCCTTCTGTCCAGGGGGTGTCCACCGTAAACTCCAAGGGGATCCCTCCTTTGAGGCCTTCCTCGGCAAATTTGTCGTAAATGCCCTTCTTCAGTGCTAAGGAAGAAGGAGACAACAGGTGGGGAGGGGAGGGTTTTTAAAAAAATATTTTTATTGCTCAATTTCCACATAACAAATTATCAAACCATACATGATCCCACCTTCCCCCCCCCCAAGGACTTCCCTCAGCTCCTCTCCCTGATTTCGCTTACACATATTTTCTCTGCATATTATAAAATTATATATATCCTTGCATGTTATATATATCCTTCATGTTATCAACAATAAATTTGTGTATGTTTATTCAAAACCTGCCAAGGAGTCCAGTTCATTTTGCTGTCTTTTTAAATAATTTGTAAAAAGTTCCCATTCTTCCCTGAAGTCACAAAAGTCCTTGTCTCGCAATCTGTATGTTAATTTGGCCAGTTCTGCGTAGTTCATCAATTCCTCTTGCCACAGTTCTTTTGTCGGGGTTTCCTCATTCTTCCATCCTTGTGCTATCAAGACTCTTCCTGCTGTTGTAGCATACATAAATAAGTTCCTTATTTTCCTTGTCCTACAATCCCTAACAAAAATGCTTCTGGTTTTTTTGCAAATGTCATTTTAAACATTTTCTTCTATTCATTATATATCATTTCCCTTTTTTAAAAAAATTCTTTACATTCCCACCACATATGATAAAAAGACCCTTCTTTCTCTTTACATTTCCAACAAATATTAGAGCCAGTTTTATACATTTTTGCTATCTGTACTGGTGTTATATACCATCTATACATCATTTTCATATAGTTTTCTTTCAGAAGGGAACAGTCTGTACATTTTAAATCTGTTTTCCAGTTTTTCCCAGTCCTCAAATTGTATATTATGTCCTATATCTTGTGCCCATTTGATCATGACCGATTTTACCTCCTCATCTTTTGTTTCCCATTCTAGCAAGATGCTATATGCTCTCTTCAGCAGCTTCACTTCTTCTTCTGTGACTTCCTTTTGAAATCTTGTTGTTGTTTAGTCGTTTAGTCGTGTCCGACTCTTCGTGACCCCATGGACCAGAGCACGCCAGGCACTCCTGTCTTCCACTGCCTCCTGCAGTTTGGTCAGACTCATGCTGGTAGCTTCGAGAACACTGTCCCACCATCTCGTCCTCTGTCGTCCCCTTCTCCTTGTGCCCTCCATCTTTCCCAACATCAGGGTCTTTTCCAGGAGTCTTCTCTTCTCATGAGGTGGCCAAAGTATTGGAGCCTCAGCTTCAGGATCTGTCCTTCCAGTGAGCACTCAGGGCTGATTTCCTTCAGAATGGATCGGTTTGATCTTCTTGCAGTCCATGGGACTCTCAAGAGTCTCCTCCAGCACTTTAATTCAAAAGCATCCATTCTTCGGCCATCAGCCTTCTTTATGGTCCAGCTCTCACTTCCATTTGAAATCTTGAAGTGGTGTAACTAAACCTTTTCTTATTATCTTCCTTGTACAACTCATGTAATTGTCTATAATGTAACCAACTCTGAAAATTATCTTTGGCATGGGACACGGAAGGTGGACGACTGCCTGATGGTCTGATCTACAGAGGGCAGTCCTCTAGTCAAAGGGTTGCCAGGTCCAAGCCAGTTTAAAGGTGAAGAACCCCAAGAAGGAAAAGGAGAAGGGGCCTCAAAATTTGCAGCTGGGCAGAAAACTGTGCAGGCAAACAGCTCACCTGGTCACAGTCCTCCCCACAATGGTGAGATGTCTTATTTATTTATTTCCATGCTTATTACATACAAAAAAAAGTGGAACAATACTGAAAAGGGGGTACAACTTAAGAGGAGAGGGAAAAGGAAAATGAAATTTACACAATCTGTTATTAAGTTAAAATTTATGGCAAAAAAATTGTGATTACAATTTCATGTTACAATAAAAGTGAAAAAATCTCATTATCTTTTCTACCCTACTTCCCATTTATTCCTTAATTCCTTTTACATAAATTTACCACCATATCAAAATACTATTTTTATGTTAATATTTTCACAATTTATAAATGTTTATATTTATATAAGCAATTGATAAAAACTGCTGGGATCACGCAAAAGCTGCTACAGATTTTAACATGGTATAATTTTGTTTAAGATATGTTCTGAAGGCCTCCCATTCTGATACAAATTCAACTCTCGGTTTATTTTTTCATTTTTTCAGATAAACTATCTAATTCAGCATATTCAGTCCATTTTTGTATCCACTCTCATCTAGAAGGAATTATGTCGCTCTTCCATCTTGTAGCTACAAGAACTCTCGCTGCCACTGTTGCATACAAAAAAAGATCTTTAAATTTTTTAGGGATATCTGAGTGTGCAATGCCCAACAGATACGCCTCTGGTTTCCTAATAAATGAGATTCTTAACATTTTTTCTAGTTCAAAGTGGATTTCCTCCCAAGATTTCTCTATTTTGCTACATTGCCACCATATATGGTACAGTGAGCCTGTTTGGTCTCCGCATCTCCAACAATTATGTACACTGTAGTTATCATTTCTAAATTTGCATCTATGCAAATGTGTCTCTTCCTGCGTTGACGAAGCATTAAGTGCTTTAGGCACCAGGCAAAAATGTTCCTCTTCAACCAAGCCATTGGCCAATTAATATTCTACAGCCTTTGAAATGTCTGTCTGTGTGTGTGTGTTTTGGCAGGGTGTGTGTGGTATTGTTTGTTGTCAAAATGCAACATAAACCGTAAGAATTGAAAACGCTATGCAAAACGAGGCAGCAGATAACGAGAAGCAGCACATTCCCAAGCAGGGCAAACATATCTTTGCAAGGTCAACCTTCCAAATCCAAACCCTAAAAGGCTTCCAAACTTTAAAAGCCAGGGAGAATTTTATTTTTATTTAGTTTTCTTCCAGCACTGGGGGAGGCGAGTAGGTAAGAGGCGAGCTTCTCCAGAGCACAGAGTCCCCCTCATACTCACCTGGTGGGGGCACCTGGAGAAAGGCCTCTGGACTTAATTTGTTTCATTTTCCAAATTGTAATGTTTTATTATTATTTAAATAAATTTTGGAAGCTGCCCAGAGTGGCTGGGGCAACCCAGTCAGATGCATAGCTGTCAACGTTTCCCTTTTTTAAAGGGAAATTCCCTTATTCTGAATAGGATTCCTCGCAAGAAAAGGGAAAAGTTGACAGCTATGGTCAGATGGGCAGGGTACTAATACTAATACTAATTTTGTTGTTGTTGTTGTTTAGTTGTTTAGTCGTGTCCGACTCTTCGTGACCCCCATGGACCAGAGCACACCAGGCACTCCTGTCTTCCACTGCCTCCCGCAGTTTGGTCAAACTCATGCTGGTAGCTTCGAGAACACTGTCCAACCATCTCGTCCCCTGTCCTCCCCTTCTCCTTGTGCCCTCCATCTTTCCCAACTCCAGGGAGTCTTCTCTTCTCATGAGGTGGCCAAAGTATTGGAGCCTCAGCTTCAGGATCTGTCCTTCCAGTGAGCACTCAGGGCTGATTTCCTTCAGAATGGATCAGTTTGATCTTTTTGCAGTCCATGGGACTCTCAAGAGTCTCCTCCAGCACCATAATTCAAAAGTATCCATTCTTCGGCGATCAGCCTTCTTTATGGTCCAGCTCTCACTTCCATACATCACTACTGGGAAAGCCATAGCTTTCACTATACGGACCTTTGTTAGCAAGGTGATGTCTCTGCTTTTTAAGATGCTGTCTAGGTTTGTCATTGCTTTTCTCCCAAGAAGCAGGCGTTTTTTAATTTCATGACTGCTGTCACCATCTACAGTGAACTAATACTAACACTAAAGCAATACAGTGGTACCTCAGTTTAAGAACAGCCCTGCTTACGAACTATTCGGTTTACGAACTCTGCAAAACCGGAAGTAGTGTCTTGGTTTGCGAACTTTACCTCTGTTTACGAACAGAAACCGAACGGTGGAAGGGCACCAGCGGCGGGAGGCCTCATTAGGGAAAGCGCGGCTCAGTTTAAGAACGGTTTTGGTTTAAGAACGGACTTCCAGAATGGATTAAGTTCGTAAACGAGGTACCACTGTCCTTGCACCTCACCCATCTGACTGGGTTTTCCCCATCCCCTCTGGGCAGCTTCCAACAGAATATAAAAGGACACAACAAAGCACCAGACATTAAAAAGCTTTCTGATAAAATAAACGACAGCCAAAGAGATGTGTCATTAAATACTAAGGCAAGCCTTTCCAAAGAGCACAGCACACACAGATGAAGCGAATCCCCTCCTACTCACGATCGCTCAGGACATCGTAGGCTTCCGCAAGCTGCTTAAACTTCTCTCTGGCCCACGGCTCCTTGTTCTTATAGGGGTGGTACTTCAAGGCCAGCTTCCGATAGCTGCAAAAAAAACCAAACACAGAGCGACTGCTGTGGTCACTGAACCAGGGGAAGCGGTCTTGTACCAACTGAGACTGCTGGCCCACTGAGCTGAGTACTGTCTACAGTGCCAGGCATGGCCAAACGTGGCCCTCCAGGTGTTTTGGGACTACAGTTCCCATCATCCCTGATCACTGGTCCTGTTAGCTAGGGGTGATGGGAGTTGTAGTCCCAAAACATCTGGAGGGCAGAGTTTGGCCATGCCTGGCACAGACAGCAAGCATCTCTCCAGGGTTTCAGGTGTGGGATATTACCAGGCTTATCTGGAGATCCCTACCTGGAGTCTCTCTCTCTCTGTCTCGCATGCTCCCCTAAATATATACCGTATTTTTCGCTCTATAGGACACACTTTTCCCCCTCCAAAAATGAAGGGGAAATGTGTGTGCGTCCTATGGGGCGAATACAGGCTTTCGCTGAAGCCTGGAGAGCGAACTCCCGCCGGGCTCCCAAGGCTTGCGGATAGCAGCCTGCAGCCCGAAGCCCGGGGAGCACAGTGCAGCGCACCCCAGGCTTCAGGCAGATATCCGCAAGCCTTGGGAGCCTGGTGGGAACCAGAGCGGTACCTATTTATCTACTTGCACTTTGACGTGCTTTCGAACTGCTAGGTTGGCAGGAGCAGGGACCGAGCAATGGGAGCTCACCCCGTCAAGTCCTAGGCTCTGTGGTTTAACCGTATAATCAGTTGTACCAACAGGCTAAAAAACAGCTTCTATCCGTGGGCTATTAGGCTGCTGAATGGAAAATAATATAGTGCAACTGACTTTCAGGGTTGGTGTGTTGTGCGACAAGCACACAGAGTGCAATGAGACTGAGTGTTTTGGTGGGGAGGCTCAGTTAATTTCATTGTACACAGGTTGTATATTGACAATAAAGGTATTAAAAAGAGAAAGAGAGACAGACCCAGCAGGGCTGGATTTTGGGGTGCTTCCCCTGTGCAGGGTGCTGAGTTTTTGCTGTTGCTGTTGTTGTTGTTTAGTTGTTTAGTCGTGCCCGACTCTTTGTGACCCCTTGGACCAGAGCACGCCAGGCCCTCCTGTCTTCCACTGCCTCCCGCAGTTTGGTCAAACTCATGCTGGTAGCTTCAAGAACACTGTCCAGCCATCTCGTCCTCTGTCGTCCCCTTCTCCTTGTGCACTCCATCTTTCCCAGCATCAGGGTCTTTTCCAGGGAGTCTTCTCTTCTCATGAGGTGGCCAAAGTATTGGAGCCTCAGCTTCAGGATCGGTCCTTCCAGTGAGCACTCAGGGCTGGTTTCCTTCAGAATGGATCGGTTTGAGTAGGCACAAAACGGAGGAGATCCCTAATTGAGAAGATCCATTGGGAGGGGCATCAAATGCCGGCCTTTCCTGGGCTGGGCTGCTACCAAAGTCCGCCCTGGCTGCACCCAGGTTAAAATCCCCACTTGGCCACGCAGCACCCTCCAAGGAAAGGGGAGGGGAGTGGCAAGAAGTGTAATAATCACTGTTTTTTGGGGGGGGATGCATACCCCTAAATATTTTGTGAATCTTTGTACTTTTGTCCACTTACTGCATTTATTTTTCCCAAGTTGAACTATAAAATTGTGCTTTTCTTGAGAATGACCTCTAAACATTTTTTAAGAAAGGAAGCACTGGTGTTATGCAAATTTAATTAATAATAATAAGAAGATTACAGTGGTACCTCGGGTTAAGTACTTAATTCGTTCCGGAGGTCTGTACTGAACCTGAAACTGTTCTTAACCTGAAGCACCACTTTAGCTAATGGGGCCTCCTGCTGCTGCCGCGCCGCCAGAGCCCGATTTCTGTTCTCATCCTGAAGCAAAGTTCTTAACCCGAGGTACTATTTCTGGGTTGCGGAGTCTGTAACCTAAAGCGTATGTAACCCGAGGTACCACTGTACTGTAAAGGTAAAGGGACTCCTGACAGTTAGGTCCAGTCGCGGACGACTCTGGGGTTGCAGTGCTCATCTCGCTCTATAGGCTGAGGGAGCCGGCGTACAGCTTCCGGGTCATGTGGCCAGTATGACTAAGCCGCTTCTGGCGAGCCAGCGCAGCACACGGAACGCCGTTTACCTTCCCGCCGGAGCGGTACCTATTTATCTACTTGCACTTTGACGTGCTTTCGAACTGCTAGGTTGGCAGGAGCAGGGACTGAGCAACAGGAGCTCACCCCGTCGTGGGGATTCAAACCGCCGACCTTCTGATCGGCAACTCCTAGGCTCTGTGGTTTAACCCAAAGCACCATCCATGTCCCTAAGATTACTGTATATCACTGAAAATTAGGGCTGCCATATGTCCAGGTTTTCAAAGGCAGAATCGCTCAACAACTTTTAGCTTTTCCTAAGAAAAGCTCAACAAAATAAAACAAGCAAACAAAAGAAAAGCTCAACAACTTTTGGGGTGTCCTGGTTTTTACTTTTTGAAATATGGCAACGCTACAAAATGCCTGTATCATGCCTCAATGAGACATCTCCATCATTGCACCTCCAGCATCTTATCAGCATCAGAAAATGCCTTCCTGCAAAGACCCAATAGACCCAAAACATCCGTTTTTGCTGGGGCAAAAGGAGTTTCCCATGCGCAGCGCATAGCAAGTCCTGGCAATCAGTTTGTGGTCTGCATGGGGGGAAATTCTATGATGCTATGAAATGGTCCGTATAGTTAAAGCCATGGTTTTCCCAGTAGTGATGTATGGAAGTGAGAGCTGGACCATAAAGAAGGCTGATCGCTGAAGAATGGATGCTTCTGAATTATGGTGCTGGAGGAGACTCTTGAGAGTCCCATGGACTGCAACAAGATCAAACCGATCCATTCTGAAGGAAATCAGCCCTGAGTGCTCACTGGAAGGACAGATCCTGAAGCTGAGGCTCCAATACTTTGGCCACCTCATGAGAAGAGAAGACTCCCTGGAAAAGACCCTGATGTTGGGAAAGATGGAGGGCACAAGGAGAAGGGGATGACAGAGGACGAGGTGGTTGGACAGTGTTCTCGAAACTACCAGCATGAGTTTGACCAAACTGCGGGAGGCAGTGGAAGACAGGAGTGCCTGGCGTGCTCTGGTCCAGGGGTCACGAAGAGTCGGACACGACTAAACGACTAAACAACAACAATGAAATGGGTACCCTGATGTCATGGTGATTGACAAGGTGCGTGGCCTGTGGTGGACAGGGGAAGGTAAGGATCCAGCCCACTGATCTCAAGCGGATCTGTTTCCAGAGCTGGGAGGAGAGGCAAGGAGAGGGGGCTGGCAGGAATCTGGGGCCAAACATCCCCTGGAAAAGCGGTGCGCAATGTCAGGTACCCCAAACATTTTTTAAGGCAAAAACGCACTGGCAATAATAAGAAGTGCATCGCGCGCATAGATAGGGAAACACGTGCACGCAAACGCCCCCGCGTGGATCCCGCATGTACCCCAAACACACACACACACGTGCAGGGACCCGTGTCCCGCAACCCCTCCCGGGTCTCACGCCTTCTTGATGTCCGCATCCTTGGCGCTGCGGGTGAGATCCAGGACGGCGTAGTAATCCTGACCCATCGCGGCGCTTCCTCCCGGGCCAGGCCAGGTCCGGCCCGCCTGCTCTGCCCATTCGAGCCCGCTGCCTCTCCCGTTGCTAGGGACGCCGCCCGGCCCGCCTCCCCCGCCCGGCGCGGTGCATGGCGGGAGTCGTAGTCCTTTTGCGCAGCTGGCCGCGCCCGGAGCCCCATTCTCTGCAAGCTTTCCTATTGCTGCTCCGCCGCCGCATGCATTTGCTGCATGCTTGCATTTTCCGCACTGCTGCGTGCTTGCAAATTTGTGCACTGCCGCGTTTTGCGATTGCTGCGCTGCCGCACGCAATTCGCTGCATGCTTGAAATTGCTGCGCCGCCGCACGCACCGACCACATGCACTTGCTGCGTGCTTGCATTTTCCGCACTGCTGCATGTTTGCAATTTTGTGCAGTCGCATGTTTTGCGACTGCTGCAACCACCGCGCGCATTTGCTGCGCCACTGCACGCAACCTCCACATGCGCTTGCTGCATGCTTGCATTTCCGCACTGCTGCGTGCTTGCAATTTTGTGCACGGCCGCGTGTTTTGCGATTGCTGCGCTGCCGCACGCAACCGCCGCGCGCACTTGCTGCGTGCTTGCAATTTTGCGCCCCGGTTCATGCGTTTGCAATTGCTGCAACTGCCGCGTGCATTTGCAGCAAATGCAAACGGATGCACCCCTTCTTCCCTCGCCGGCGCCGGGGTTGTTTCGGGACGAGGAAGCCCCAACGGGGAAAGGCTGAGCTGGGTGGCTTTTGAAAACCCCGGCAGGCAGCTCCGCGCTTCTCCCTCTCCCAGAAGCAGCGCTGGCAACGGGAGCTGTGGCTTTCTGCGGAGCTTCTCTGTCCGACGCGAAGGGAGAGCAAGACCCCAGCGCGCGGGGCAAAGGAAGGGGAGGACTATGTAACTGCGGAACTCCTTCCCGCAGGAGACAATGCTGACCACCAACCTAGCTAGAGATCTTTAAAAGAGAAGCGCACCAATCTATGGAGCGGAGAGCTACAACATCGGCCTCCACTGGCCAGGATAGCTCTGCGCTCCAAAGTTGGGAGCAACAAGGCTTCTTTCTAAACACCCTGTTACTGGAAACCACAGAAGGGGAGAGTTGCTCTTGGGCTCTGCGCCCTCTTCCTGGTTTCCCATCAAAGACATCCCTTTGGTCCCTGTGAAAATAGGATGCTCAGCTGGAGCTGGGTCACTGGCCTGATCCAGCAGGCTCTTATGATGTTTCTTTTTGAAAGCCTCCGAAAACGTTCAAGAGGAAGGAGCAACTTCCCTTTGAGGAAAGGTTTCAGGGCTTGAGGCGATTTTTAATCCAGCAAATGCATATGCAGTGGTGCCCCACAAGACGAATGCCTCGCAAGACGGAAAACCCGCTAGACGAAAGGGTTTTCCATTTTTCAATGCGCTTCGCAGGATGAATTTCCCTATGGGCTTGCTTCGCAAGACGAAAATGTCTTGCGAGTCTTGAGATTTTTTTTTCGCTTCCCCCCCCCCCCTTTTTCTAAGCCACTAATAGCCTTTTAGCAGCTAAGCCGCTAAGCCTTTAATAGCCGCTAAACCGCTAATAGCGCTAATCCGCTAATAGGGTTGCTTCGCAAGACGAAAAAACCGCTAGACGAAGACACTCGCGGAACGGATTAATTTCGTCTTGCGAGGCACCACTGTATAAATGTCTTCCCTCCATCTGCTCTTACCGAAGTTCCAGGGGAAGAGACAAAAAGCTAAATGTCATTTCACAAGTGGAATTAGGGACACGATTGCAGCAATAACAGCCAAAATGCTGGGGTTTTTCTCTCCGCAGCTTGCTTTTTGTACTTTTAAGAAGGGATTGGCAAATCTATATTGCTAGACAATCCCAACAACATATATTATGCAGTATTTTAATGTTATTTGTATCCCTAATAAAAAAATATAGAAGTGGAGTGGGTAGGATTTATGTTATTGGATGAGCATTTTAAGCTTGTTGCATTATATATTGCTTTGAATTTCCTGGTTTCAATAGTTTCTGTCTGTTGTATTTTATCTTGTGAAGTTGCATCAGGGAGCTCCCACCACCCCCATATGAAGCGACTAACAAATGTTATTATGAAGCATCTTAATATAGCTCCAGCTAAAAAAATCAGAAGGCAGGATTCTTCTGCTTCAAGATTCTGGAGAGTTGCTTTTCAGTCTGAAAATCTTCCGATATATAAATCTAATAAATAATATATATATATATATATATATACATATATATATATATACATACATATATATATATATATATAAATATCTGTCTGAACGAACAAATGTTCTGACCTGTCTTCCGCTTCAAACACACATATTTGATCACATTGAAGTAACTGGACTGAGAAGGGGCTGGTAACATTCATGAGAGTAAATCACTCCATGGATGAGCTAATCGTAGGTACCCTGCAAACAAAGCCAATTGCTATGTTAGTGGCACGTTGCTCAGATTCCATCTGTGTTCAATGCATGTCAGCTCAGCAGTCTGTAAGTCTGAGTCGTCAGTCTGTTGGTATTACTTGTCCGGTGTTGTACGGTGAATTGCTAGGATTTATATGGAGGAATATATATACTTTGTACTAGTATGTATCTGTATCTGTATACAGTGGTACCTCGGGTTAAGAACTTAATTCATTCTGGAGGTCCGTTCTTAACCTGAAACAGTTCTTAACCTGAAGCACCACTTTAGCTAATGGGGCCTCCTGCTGCCGCCGCGCCGTGATTTCTGTTCTCATCCTGAAGCAGAGTTCTTAACCTGAGGTACTATTTCTGGGTTAGCGGAGTCTGTAACCTGAAGCGTCTGTAAACCGAGGTACCACTGTATGTCTGTATCCAGAACTGTTTGACTGAGCCTTATCTTCCACAACAGTAAACCGTTCGGACCTTAAGCTGCTTCCGTGTGGTGACAGGTACTGGGAGCAACTTCCACTGCCTTGGCATCTTGTATCAGATTCCTGACCGATCACTCTCTCCATCAACAAAGAAGTTACAGGAACTGATGTTGCGATTTTGTCTTTGTTAAGTTATGGCAGGTGGGGAAGCCTTGGCCCTCCAGCAAGATTTTTGCTGAACTACCAACTCCCGTCGGCACTAGCAAACATAATGGCAGATTAAAGAATTTAATTCTCATATCTTTAGCTGTTTCATTTGAATTAACTATGTTGTGTCTTTTTATTTTGTTATCGACTCTTGTCTTTTGAATAGGGCAGGGTATAAACATAGTTTAGTGAAAACAGAGTGTTTCAGTCCCACCAGACTGCAGCAGACCCCACAAGCTGCTCTTCCTGCGTAGCTCCTGAAAAGTAATTTTTGCGCTCCGTGTTATGAGGTCAGATGAGAGAGCTAAACCCTAATTTCATCTTGTCAAAGATGAAAGGAAGCCTGGTGAGAGCTTCAAATGACAAAAAATAACCCTCCGCAATTGGTTGCTGGGAATCAAAGATGAATGGCAAGCGAAGAACGGTAAGAGAAGAGGATTAAAAAGAAAATCAATGAGGGCTGCTCCCGAGAGAATCAACTTAATTGGGCAAACAGCTTGAGATCAAAGCAGCTTTATTTGAAGATGGAAACTTACAACTAGCAGCCTGCTTGCTGGTGGGCAGTGAGAATTGCCACAGAGGAGTAATTCTGGAAGGAGGGCATGAGACGGAAACAAAAGGTTGCTGCAGTTTGCAGCTCAAGACAAGCAAGCGAGCCTGAGCAACACACCCCTTTCTACTGACATCTGCTGGCCTCCCTTTTCCTCGCTCTCATCAGCTCCTTTCCCCTCACTTAGGAACAACCACCAGCCACACAGTGGATATCAAAAACACTTTTGCAAACACAAACAGGGCACAATCGACCCAACAAACTTTCCGTGCTGTTCGGTGCAGGGAAACGGCGTTAAACTTTCAGAGCTGCCGTGTTCACATCGCTCGGCAGGAAGGTTACCTACAGCCTGGCCTTGGCTGCTGTCTCAACGTGGTCCCTACATCTCACGCCTGCGTGCTCCATTCACGCTACCGTACAAAGTCCTGGAAACGGGGGACACGGATATATGACTTGTTTCAAATGCGTGTTTTAAGTAATCCCTGAAGTGCGTCCAGCATTCATAGCGCAGTGTTCATGGCTTTCGTAAAGTCAGAGGTCTGAAAGCTGGTATCTCCTCACTATTCCGTCTCTGCAACACGTGTACACCTGTTTTTCCCATGTGGCCACCTAAAAAGATGGTAACAAAAGAGGTTTCAGAGGTGGTATTATTACAATCAAGTAAGAAGCTGGATTAGTTCATTCCTTAACCTTCCCATGCTATGATCTGTATATATATTTTTCATGTATGTTATAGGGCTTTTTGTTTTACAATGCAAGGGACTGGGAAGTTTCATCTTACCTGCTCTAATGTGTATTGCGTTAAGGAGGTTTAATTGCTTTCTCGGTCTTTTACACTCACCTAAAACCATTTCCTTTTTTATTATTCCAGTCCCAGGTGAATATGACTGCCAAAAAATGTGTTAGATTGTGCCCTGTATGCTGTCAACATTCAATCAATGCTTTAGAAAGAATAAGGCAGGGACGGCTGCCTTGTTTTCCAGTTATTAGGCTGTCCGTCAGCATGCTTTTTATTATATTTTTATCATTGATGTTCTGTAAAGCGTTTTTAATTGTGCACTGCCCTGGGATCTTTTGATAAAGGGTGGTATATTGAATGAAAAGGAGAAGAACCCCATCTTACCATAAGGGAGGGAATTACGGAGGGTGGGGAGAGAAAATTCCCCTGGTGTTAAGGAAAAAAATGGTCAGCTACAGGGTGTTAAGAAACAGTCATGAAATGATACTGGAAAATGGAGGGTGCAGTGCCATATTTCTGCACTGTTCAGAAAGAACAGGTGTGAGTTCCTACCGGTGGCAAAGATCTCTTTGTGTACTTGGAATAGAATACATGCTATCAAAGGACACTTAACAACACTTACGTTAAATTACAGTAATTCCTCTGAACTGGCCACACATATTTCTATTATTATTATTATTATTATTATTATTATTATTATTATATTTCCCCAGCCACTCTGGACGGCTACCAACCGAATTTTAAAAACACAACATACCATTAAACATTAAAAACATCTCTAGACAGGGCTGCCTTCACATGTCTTTTAAAAGTAGGATTCAGGTAGGCAGTTGTGTTGGTCTGACGTAGTAGAAATATATCAGATAAATAAATAAATTGTCCAGTAGCATCTTAGAGCACCTTAGGACACGAAAGTTCATACCAAGAACAAACTTAGTTGGTATCTAAGGTGCTACTGGACAATTTATTTATTTTTTAAATATATTTTTAAAAGTAAGATAGTTGCTTATTGCCTTGATATCTGGTGGGAGGGCGTTCCACAGGGCAGGCGCCACTACCGAGAAGGCCCACTGCCTGGTTCCCTGTAACCTCACATCTCGCAGGGAGGGAACTGCCAGAAGACCCTCGGAGCTGGACCTCCGTGTCTGGGCTGAACGATGGAGGTGGAGACGCTCCTTCAGGTTTACTGGACCGAGGCCGTTTAGGGCTTTCAAGGTCAGCACCCTTTGAACTGTGCTTGGAAACGTATTGGGAGCCAATGCAGATCTCTCAGGACTGCTGTTATATGACCACAATGGACAGTAGCTTTCTGTTACAATCACATTCTTTGATTAGGTGCATCCCTTTCTGGGGGAAGATTCCATAACTGGCGCCTCCCCTTAACTAAGTTATATACCCTCGATTGCTGCCTTTCTGCTGTGTAAGAGGCAAACTTATACAACTCTAATTTAGTGGTGTTTTGTGTCAGAAGGTAAAGCAGGAGTCTCTCCTGAACTTAGGGCGTCGGGAACATTACCATCTCAGAAGTGCTCTACAATATGGGCCTAGTAACATCGGCCTACCTTACTATTCAAATAGTTACTAAGAATAGTGTGTGATAACTTTCTAACGGTAAGAGCTGTTTAACAGTGGAACAGACTCCCATGAGAGCTTGTGGATTCTCCTTCACTGGAAGTTTTTTGGCAGAAGCTAGAAGGTCACAGAATCATAGAATTGTACAGTTGGAAGGGATCCCAACGGTCATCTAGTCCAATCCCCTGCAATGCAGGAATCTCAGCTGAAGAATCCCTGGCAGACAGGCATTGAAACTCTGCATTAAAACCTTCGAGGAAGGAGAGTCAACAGCCTCTTGAAAGTGACTGTTAGGCTGTCAAACAGCTCTTACTGTCAGGAAGTTTTTCCATATGTTTAGTCGGAATCTTCTTTCTTTTAACTTGAAGCCGTGGGTTCGAGTCCTACCCCCCAGAGCAGGAGAAAACAAGCTTGCTCCATCTTCCACATGACAGCCCTTGAGATATTTGAAAATGGCTATCTTATCTCCTCTCAGTCTCCTCTTTTCCAGGCTAAACATACTCAGCACCTTCAACCATTTCTCATAAGGCTTGGCCATCTGTCATGTATGATCTGAGAATCCTGCACTGCAGGGGTTTGGACTGGATGGCTCTCAGGTCTCTCCCAACGGTACGAATTCTATGATTCTGAGATTCTATGAATGAGCGTGTATGATAAAATAATAGATAGTTAAATATTTTATCATAATTTTATTCCCCGAGTTTTCCTATTTCCCTTTTTCCCTGGAGTTCAGCAGCGATTTCCGTGATTTCTCTAGGCAGAAACTCCCTTTGCCGAGACCAAGACCAAGATGGGCATTTCCCCTTGTACGGTACCTTGTATACGGGGTCACAGTCTGGCCCAGTGAGCTCAGCCACATGGTCCAGATCTTGTTGCATAATAAAGCAGGTTCCATCACCTGGAAAGAGATGCAGAACACGTGAAAGACAAGAAACTGCAGTTTACGTAGCAAGCCTTCACATTCTACATACCAATGTCATCATGATGCCTACCCGCCGGAGCAAGATACTGAGAAATCAAATGTGAGAAACCTGCTGGATCCTCAAGTGCAGTGCTGTAAGGCTTTTTGTCCATGGAGAATACACTCAAACCTCGGTTGTCGAATGTAATCCATTCCGGAAGACAGTTCCGAAACGTTCGACAACCGAGGATCGAAGGGCGGTTGGCAAAGTCAATGTAAAAAAAAGAAGAAAGCTCTCTGGAAGCCATTTGGCTTCCAAAAAACGTTTGAAAACCGGAACATTTACTTCTGGGTTTTCAGTGTTCAGGAGCCAAAACGTTCCAAATGGAGCTGTTCAGGAACAGAGGTTTGACTGTAGTGACTTATTCTTAACAGCTGAGAATTCACGGTGCAAGAAATTCAGGAGGGTCTGTTAATGGTTCCAACAATTTGACTTCATCCCCCCCCCCCAAAGCACCCTCCTCCATTGTCTCCCAAGACAAGGCAGATGCTAACTCAGTAGGTGAAAGAAAAGAGGAACGCTACCTTGGCTGGCAATAAATCCATCTCTAAAAGGGAGCAGAGAAAGAACTGGTGCTCCTGATCTGTGGACAACACGAACTGGAGCCCTAGAGAGAGCAGCAGGAACCTTTATCACAAAGAGTTGCTCATGTTATAACAAGTTTGCCAGAATTCTTCTTAAAGAGACAAATAAACTGGGCCATGTTGTATAGGGAGCATAAGAAGCTGCCTTGAATCAGAGCCAGATCACGGGTCCAGCTGGCTCTATATTGCTTACACTGACTGGCAGGGGCTTTCCAGGGTTTCAAGCAGGGAGTCTCTCCTACTCTTACCTGGAGATGCCACTGAGAATTGAACCCAGGGCTTTCGGTAGAGGCTCTGCCACTGAGCTTACAGCCCTTCCCCAGTGACATGCATAATTGGAGCAACATGGGAAGCAGCAACAATGCTCCTGAGGCCACATTAACAGCTGCCCTTCAATTCTACTCACTTGGTGTTTCGCACATCCAGCTGGTATATATTTCCATCTTGCGTGCCGCCAAGGAGGTAGATGTTGGAGAGGAACGTGCAGCAATTAAATGCATCCGAGCCAACAAACAGAAAAACCTGAGGAGGAAACAAGCAAGAGGGAATGAAAAGGATATTGCGATGCTACTCTGAAAGAAAGAGAGAGAAAGAAAGAGAGAGAGAGAGAGAGCGCGCGCGCAGCTAGGAAAAATGGCACTTTAAATTTCTGTTGAAAAAAGCATGTTCCTAACTGGCCTGACCAGAGGTAGATCTGGCTGGGTTGTTGCATTTTTAAAAAAATATAATTTTTATTAAGTTTTTCATATTTTATTACATTTCAATATCAAAAAATAATAATTCATGACTTAAGACATTGCTTAAATAAAGCATCGACCTCCTTCCTTCCCTCTAGCAGACTTCCATATCTCATTACCAATTTCTCCATAATCCTAAATTCACTTTTTTACCCTGAATCGAACTTTTAACAATCACCTACTTATAAGTAAATCAGCTCCTTAATTTCCCATTACCAAACATTTCAACTTAAACCTACAAACGTATTCAACTGTTTGCAATTTTCTTTCATATAGAGTATAAATTTGCCTCAGTCCTTTTGGAACAAATCATCACAGCGATTCCGAATCTTCCCCGTCAGCTTTGCTGGCTGGGTTGTTGCATTGTGTGTCGGCCGATAGGCTCAAAACAGATAACAGCAGAAAAGGCAACATTAAACATGGTCATGGTGATGGTGATATCTTACTGGCTGCCTGCTATGCAACCCCACCCCTTGCAGCTTTTTGTCCTCTCGAGCCAACAGCAGGAGTTTCCCTTCTGTTCCGATTTCACGCTCACCTGTGTTGGAAAGAAACATGGTTAGGGTTAGCAGCTGCTCACCTTGTCGTTTGTTAAAGGCCAGAATCATGGCCAAACTAGGGGTGATGGGAGCAGCCATGTTTGCGTCTTACATGGTTGATTTTTATATAGGGACCCTCACCTATTTTACTTCCCTGCCATCCCAGATTCAGAACCTCCCTAATCCCTGCTCCACATTGCCGGAAGTGAGCCAAACTAGGAGAAATGTTCCCGAAGCAACACTCTGCTTTTTATATATTTGGAACAGACAGACACGTGAATGACCAAACCTAGTGAGTTGAATTTGTCCCTTCAGTTCTGCTCACTAAGCGCAGTGTGTTTATGCCCAGATGCTATGGTCAAAGATTGACAACATATTTTTTTGAACGGTAGGGAGTGAGAAGGAATGAGTGAGTGCATACATAGGTGTGCGTACGGTTGTCCTTGCTCTCAGTATGCTTTTTCAAACTTTGTTTGATTGAATATAAAGGCTTTATTTTTAAACAAAGTTGGACCACAAACCTCTCCATAAAAAGTTAACAGGTCAGCATCAATGTTACCTTTCTGCCTTATCTTTAATACATTTTAATTATTACACTTGTCATATGAAACTCCGTTATACTGAGCTAGAGGGCTGGTCTACCACCTTTCCCCCAGATCTGGAGCCCTCTAGATCCGGGATGTTTAATCGGTCGATCCCTCTCTATTGGCGGAAGTGAAAAGCAATGCAAGGGAATTCTCCGCCCCCCTGCTCTGCCACTGTGTTAGTCCGACGCGTCAAATGGGTTAGAAAATTAAAGTATCTGTCAGCACTGCATCGCTTTTTTAGGTGAGCAATTTTCCTCTCCTAAAAAAAATCAACAACTTTGGATTGCTCCCTCCCTAAAAGGTCAACAACTTTGGCATCCCATCCCCCCACCCCTTCATGGAAGATCACTTCCATAATTTTTATACTGGGAGTAGATTGCAGTCTCTTGTGAGTTGGACGTGCCTGCTCTAGATGTTATTGAACTACCAACCTCCTTAAGCCGCAGCTCGCATGGCCGTGCTGGCTGGGGCTGGTCGGAACTGTAGTCCAAAACAGCTGGAGAGAGAGCACCAGGTTGGGAAAGTCTGACTGAGCCCAATATTGTAAACATGGCCAATGCAGGACTAAGCACCCATGAACCGAACCTGGGTTCTCCTGTGCTCAAAGGTCAGTGGCACATGGCTATAGCTCCTCCCCTGCTGGTCTGGCCCTGCCTAATCAGCCAATACAAAACATCCTCCACTCTCCCAGCAATGAATTACAGCCAAAATAAAACCTGGAGTTATTTTCAGGTGTGCAACTTTTTGGCATGACTTTATGACCATAAAAACGTGCCTCTGCTTTTTTTTTTTTTAAAAAAAGAAGAGAACACTTGCTTAATGTTGTTAACTTACTGGGTATTTTTTCAGGAGAGCCCAAGTTTAAGGTGTTGTCGGCCTCACCCAAAGCGACACCATTGACTGGAGAGCCGCAATCTGCGACAACACCCAGGCAGGACGATGTCCCGCAGTCCCAGAGGCGGGCAGTGCCATCCCGAGAGCCTGAGACCACGTTTCTTCCCCGATCCACAATGGCTGTGTCCAGAATTCCTGCAGGACGGCAAAGGAAACGCTCGTGGGAAAGCGAAAAGAAGTCTATCCACGCTCTCTGACACAATTCCACCATCCCCCGCCATAATTCTGACCAAAGCACACCACAAGGAAAAAGAAAGGAGTCAGCAGCTAAGACAACCTCAGAGAACCAAAGAGAAGGTTGAAGATTTGCCAGCTCATCTAGGTGACAACCACACTATACATTTCAAACATGTGGCTTCCCCCAAAGAATCCTGGGAACTGCAGTTTGTTAAGGGTGCTGGGAATTGTAGCTCTGTGAGGGGTAAGGTACAGTTCTCAAGATACTTAGGTGGAAGCCATGTGCTTTCAATGTATGGTGTGGATGTGAGCCTAGTTCAGATGAAAATCCAGTCTAATCTCAGATATCTGGGGCCTCAAATGTATTTTGTTGTTGTTGTTGTGCAATTGCAAAATTCCATACTGTGTTAGCACTTAGCTATAATAGGTCAAGAGCAAATGATTACAAGTGAACATAAGATCGTAAGAGGAGGCCTGCTGGATCAGGCCAATGGCCCAACTAGTCCAGCATCCTATTCCTACAGTGGCCAACAAAGTGCCTTTGTGAAACGAGCAAGGAAGAGCATTCACTCTTTTCCAATAACACCATTAATTCTAATAGACGCAGCTGTCCATAGCTGCTGATACATTTGCGTATAAAACAAAAGAAATCCAATCCTACAAATTCTTGTATCTGCTCAATTCTGCTGTGGTAAATCTCTCCAGCAAGAGACAGCTGGCTCTGATAACTGTGTACGTAAGATGAATTTGAATAATTTTGGCAATCTGTAACTTTGAGCTTTTCAGGACAGATGATCAGGAGTTTTTGGCTGACAGCTAGCTTGTATTCACCAGGGTCCTGCCAGTGCCTTTATCCCTGACCTCACACTGTGCATATGCGCGAGGGGCAGGGACCATCCCATGCTGACTTCCTCCCCTCAAAGTCTGGAACTGGAGAGTAGGGTGGGAGCCATCTTTATAGTTGCACTGAGCTTTGGAATGCCGCAGCTACCAGGTACAACTGCCCTTGTCCTCCAAGTTCGTTTAGGTGGTGAGCTGTAGAGGTGCTCAGAACACCTTATCAGCCCAGCCACAAAAGAGAAACACCGGCCTTTTTCTCCAGCCTGGAGCTTAACTCAACTTCAGCTGCTATTACAACTGCATTTATTTCAGTTGCCAATTTCCTGTACCTGCTCTGTGACCCTGAAATGTTACCACGCATTTGGCATCTTCCGCAGACCAGATCTTTAGCCGGGCATCCATCCCCCCACTCAGGACCACAATGCCTGACGGGAAAAATCTGCAGCAATTCACATCGTAGACGTGGCCTTCCAGACATCTCTGGGAAGACAAAAGAATTGAAAGCTAGTTAAAAGCCTCATCTCATCCTCTGCCTTGTTACTTAGCAACAGCCATCTTATTTGCCAAGCACACTGGCTGGCTACACGGCCTCCATGACATCACTGCATCCTAGATTGTCATCATCTATTTTGTTTCTTTGCAGAGATTATAACGCTGAGGTTCTGGAAGTATCCTAAAACCATAATCAAGGGTAATTAAATCTAGGCCAGCTGCCCAAACAAGGTACACATATGCCTGAGATTTCCAGGTCACAGCAGACCTATTTCTCACCATAGCTGTCAACGTTTCCCATTTTTTTAAGGGAAATTCCCTTATTCCGAATAGGATTCCTCGCAAGAAAAGGGAAAAGTTGACAGCTATGTTTCTCACTAAGATGCTAAACTTGCATCAACTTAAGACGGCAGGTGGGATCTTGATTTAAAAAAAACAAAACAAAAACCTACATCAACTAGCATGTCAGAAAGAAGTTTCATAGTCTAGCCTTTCCCCCAATATATTTCTCTTTGTGAGACTCTACCTGCTACCTGAAACTGTAGTCCAGACATAGGGTTAGCATCACAGTGAGAGTTGGGCCACTGTTAGTAAACTCATTATACAGAAAGCAGTCAGGCGGAAGGGGGTGGATCAGAAGTAAGATAATAGTTGACTTCCTGAACTGATTTTTATCCTGTCAGAGTGTTGTGACATGGAAGTCAGATGATCCTCAACATGGTAAGGAGACCAGATTCCAATTCCTTTATGGAAAGAAGTAGGGGGGAAATGGATTTCTCTACCCACTGAGAAGACAGAACATGCAGCAATAATACATTACAGGAAAGGAGGGTTAGGTTAAATATCAGAAACAACTTCCTTGCCACGATCCACAGGTGCACTTGCAGGTATGCACATGCACTTAAGATTTATCGTGTTGTTTCTCTCTCTCCCCCAATGATATCAAACGACTATTAAAACTCTAGAGTTTGAACAGCAGTTTGAGGGGGGCAGGGATTAGTTCAACATTCAAGGATTTAGACTGCAGGTTTCTTAAAGGCAAATTTCAACCTCAATACTGGTCTTACTCTTATTTCTCCATTAGCAGCCTGCCAAATTTTCATAGCTCCACCAGCACTGGCTGATACTCCAAGACCTCCGCCACTAGAAATGTCAAGGCAAGTAATCTAAGATGGAGAGGAAGAGAAAATGAATAAATAACCACAATCTAGAAAAGTGAAATATTGATGGGCACTGGCATGGGCACTGGCATGTTATACAGTTCAGTCCATGTATTACTAATGTATTACGATGTATAGGCTAATGAGTTTATTGAGAAATCTCTATTCCATATAATTAAACTGCCAATTTGTAAAACACAGGCTATTCAAGGAGACATATAAAAGATCAAATCAAATAGTTAAACAATCAAAAATGGTTGCCAGGTTTTTGAGTACCTCTAATACAGATGATATACAACTGTGCATAAAATAGCAGGCAAAAACCATTTTGAACTTACATGGGCTTATAGGGAATATTATTATTATTATTATTATTATTATTATTATTAATAATAAATTAATAATAACTTATTATTTATACCCCGCCTATCTGGCTGGGTTTTCCCAGCCACTCTGGGCAGCTCCCAACAAAATATTAAAAACACAATACAGCATCAAACATTAAAAACTGCCCTAAACATGGCTGCCTTTAGAAGTCTTCTAAAAGTCAGATAGTTGTTTATTTCCTTGACATCTGATGGGAGGGCATTCCACAGGGCAGATGCCACCACCGAGAAGGCCCTCTGCCTGGTTCCCTGTAACCTCACTTCTCGCAGGGAGGGAACCACCAGAAGGCCCTCAGAGCTGGACCTCAGTGTCCGGGCTGAACGATGGGGGTGGAGACGCTCCTTTAGGAGCAAATGATGCCACAAAATCTCAGTCCCCCTGCCCCCCTGGCACTTGACATGTCCTCCCCAGCCTTGACCACCTCTTTCCCTAGATGACTTTGAATTTCTGCTGTCACTCATCTGACAGAAGAACATACCTACCTGTGTAGCATGTAGACAAGTTTGTACATGGGAGTTTAGCATTTGGTGTGGTCGGATAGATAATTGGTGTGAGACATTGTGAAACAGTCTGAAGAAGAGGAATTGGAACTGTGGGAAAGCCTGAAGACTTTGTGAAGAGTTGCAGGACTTCAAAGAAACTGAACTTGGAGCTTGGCTGTGGAATTTAACACAGCAAGGACTTTGAAGCAAAGAATCCTCTCTGGGCTGAGAGAGAGAAGACTTCTTGTACCATCTGTAACTAGTGTGTGTATGTAGTGTGGTGTACAGCTGTTTTCTGTGGCAAGCTTCCACAGCACATATGCCCAGCACTGACAAGTTATCGAAGAACACTGCAACTCATTTAATTAACTGAAGCTGCATCATCATTTAAAGTCATCTTATGAAAAACCACTTTGTAAAAATACTTACGCTTTTTTGATGGATTCTACAGAAGGTTGTGTAGGGCGCCAGAAATTTGGTGGAGGCATTTTCACGAGGGCAGGAAACAAGCAGACTTTTCTGGAGTAGGTAGACCAGAAAGGAGAAGATAACATTTACTGGCAGCTGATTATGACCCATCATCACAAAACCCAATAACTAATATGGTGGAAACTCCAGACAATAAAGCAGGTAGCCACAATTGCTTTGGATGTTTCTATTAAATATCATAGAGATGAAATAAATCATTGCAGTAACGAGTAATTTTGAGCGTTGCCTTATACTGTGAGCCCCAAGGGGGGGAAATATTAATGTTTAAGAAAATGAGCTCTAAGTTGCTCTAAGGCCATCAGAGAGCATTTTATTCCTCCAGTAGAAGCCCAAACCCATAAAATATAATACAGTAATCTGAATTGGGGCTGTGACAGTCAGAAGGCACAATATAAATCCAACAAATAAAAAAATGCAGTTATGACAGAGGGCACTTTCACATAGCAGTTTCTTGTGAATTCAGTGCTGCTCATGGATGTATGTTTTGTGTAATCTGCACAGGACACCATACTTGTCAAAATAACATCCCGTATCCCCCCACCTCAATTTAATCCAGATCAAGTTCAGATTATAAATCTGACATAGAAAACCATAGAGTTATCTTAGTTCTTGCTACGAGCCACTAGTTTGCCCTTCAACCCCATAGACGGAAGTGACCGTACCTTAGTTATTTCACTGACAACAAATCCTTCAGAGGCTACAACTTCAGGAATTCCATCTGAGCTCACCCCCTGACAAGTCAGCTTACCATACAAAGTAGGTTTTCCTACAGCATGCAAAAAACACAAACGAAAGACTTAAAAGGTGTTAAATACTTTAGACAGTACTTTATAAAGCCATCCTTATCTATTTAGGTTTTATTTTTAATGGAGACCTTCAACATTAGTTCCTCTAGCTAGAGACAAATGTGATCCACTTTTAGTTAATGATTCACAAACAGTTCTCTGTCAGGTTTATTATTCGACTCCCACTTGTCGCAAACTAACATAAATAAACAGTAATCAAATAAGAGAAAATCAGAAAACGAGGTTTGTTATAGTCTTAACACACTAGTTCACCAAGTACCAATGGCTTATAATTCTGAAGTTTTTTGTCCGTAGTACTTTCATCTAAAACTGATTTTGGCTTGTTTAAAAAATAAATTTGTTATTTCTGCTTCACAAATGGCATTAGCTGGTGGAAAAGCCAAGCCTCTCTAACTCTGAATATTGGCAGAATTTCAGAGCTTGGTGCTTAAGCTAAAGTGTGGAGAGAGAGCTGGTTGGACACAAAGAGAATGGAACTGTACATTATCACCACAAAAGGGACAGAGGACTCTTCTTGTTCACCTGGGCTGCTGCAGCTTAGCCAAGCCTGCTCCTCATTCTTCCTGCAAAGATGAGAAACTCCAGTTAGCATAAAGCAGGGACAGCCAACGTGGTGCCCTCCAAATGTTGCTAGGCTACATCTCCCATCATCCTGTACCACTGACTTTGCTAGCTAGGGCTGAGGGAAGTTGTGATCCAACGACATCAGAAGGTACCATGTTGGCTATCCCTAGCATGAAGGATCTGATACTCACTTGGCATCAGTTTGGAGGGGATCAGAGGACGTTGGATTTGGGGGTGTTAACTTGCAACCTGTTTCCTGTGTCAATTACTCAGTTTGTGGGGAAGCACAAGACCAAAATGAGCACAAAACATTGGCATCCATTTGCAAAATTTTGGGGTTATACATTAATGAAACTGAAGTAGATGAAGGTTTGGAAAGGAGCAGCTATTGAGTTCATTCAAGGCTAAAGGGGTTGGAGGGACCACTTCTTTATCATTATTAGTGCAGGCTGAAGTATTTGGGGGAACTGGAGAGCATTTAAGGGACAAAAAAACACCAAAATTTGATGTGGGGTGGGAGAAGGGAGGTTGCAAATGACAGGTGGTGGAGGGCAGACTATGGGAGGACCTTGGCACCATATCCAAGGAGAGGGCAGTGAAAGAAAATGGGCAAAACCTTTCAAGTCAAAGCAGGCAACCCTTCTGGAAGGAAAAAACAAAACCTCAAGGGGTGGGGGGAAAAGGATGGCGAAGGCAGGCAGGCAGATTCCTTTGTGCTTGACTCAAAAAGGTGAGCCCAAGATGGAAACTCAACTCCTGGAGCCCCATGAATGGTCTGCCCTACTTTGAGGTGGGGAGAATGACTGCTGAAAGGACCACCAGCAGCAGGTGATGTGAAGGGGGCTGAAAAACAAGTGAAAGTTCAAGGGGGGGGTAAGCGATGTATCTGAGGGGGCACTGAAAATGGGGGACAAGGAGGCGGGGAAGAGACAAGTTTGAGGGGGGCACTGAAATGGGGATCAAGGGGGAAGAAGAGAGACATGTTTGAGGGGGCATTGAAAATGGGGGGAGGGAAAAGGCAAGTTTGAGGGGGTCACTGAAAATGAGGGACAAGGGGGGAGAAGAGACAAGTTTGAGGGAGGCACTGAAATGGGTGTCAAGGGGGAAGAAGAGAGAGACAGTTTGAGGGAGCACTGAAAATGGAGGGGTAAGGAGGGGGGAGAAGAGACAAGTTAATAAATGGAGGATGGCACTGAAATGGGGGTCAAGGGGGAAGAAGAGAGAGACAGTTTGAGGGAGCATTGAAAATGGAGGGGCAAGGGAGGAAAAAAGCCAAGTTTGAGGGGGGAATTGTAATGGGGGTTGTCAAGAGGGAACAAGAGAGAAATGTTTGAGGGGGCGTTGAAATTGGAGGGAGGGGAAAGCCAAGTTTGAGGGGGCACCTGAAATGGGGGTCAAGGGGGAAGAAGAGAGAGACAGTTTGAAGGGGCATTGAAAATGAGGGGTTAAGGAGGGGGGAGAAGAGACAAGTTAATAAATTGAGGATGGCACTGAAATGGGGGTCAAGGGGGAAGAAGAGAGAGACAGTTTGAGGGAGCATTGAAAATGGAGGGGCAAGGGAGGGAAAAAGCCAAGTTTGAGGGGGGCACGGAAAATTGGGGGCGAGGAAGGGAGAAGAGGCAAGTGTGAGGAGGGACTGAAATGAGGGGGAAGAGGACGAGGTAAGTTTGAGGGGGCACTGAAAATGGGGTCGAGGGGTCATGGGGGAGCAGAGGTTGAGGGGGGCACTGAAAACGGGGGTGCCGCCACCGTGGCCGTGAGGAGGAGGCGGCGGCAGCAGGCGCGGGGAGGCCCTCTCGCCCACCTCAGCACCTGGTCCCAGTCGCTCTGGATCCGCACCACCGCCGCCATCTTGCCCGGGGCCCCTCCCCGGAAAGCGCATCCCGCTGCCCTCCCCCCGGAAGGCCCGGGCACCGCCCACCAGGGAAGCAGCTTGGCCCGCGAGGAGGCCTCAGGGGAGCCCAAGGCCGAGGGGAGCCGGGCGGGCGGGCGGGCGGGCGTGGCAAGGCCGCCGCCGGGCGTGGGCGGTCGAGCGGTCTCTTCTTTTTTTGCCCGCGTAGCTCGGCGGGCGGGGCGCCCGTCGCGCGCGGGAAGCTAAGCAGGCTCAGCCCCGGACAGCTTTCGGATGGGAGACCGGAGCAGAGGCGTCGTCATTTCCGCGTAGCTCGCGCGTGCTTGGCCTTTCTCCGCAGAGCACCTCGCCAAAGACTCCTCCCGAGTAAGGTGATATAGCCGTCCAGGAGTATCAGAGGAGAGGGTCCCCCACCTCCTCCTGCAGGAAGGCTATTTGTAAATAAGACAAGTTCTCCGGATGATGTAGAAAGCGGAGTCAGCATAAGGATCCGCAAGTGAAGTTTCTTCACATCAACTTGCCGGAAAAGCTTCAGTTATTACTTTTGACTTTAGTAATCCAGGAGAATTGTCAGGAAAGTGGGGGAGAAACTCTAGGGCCTTTGAATGCAAAGTGTGGCAAATTCAGTATATTGCACATGCAAAATACACTGTGCCATAGCTGTCAACTTTCCCCTTTTCTTGCGAGGAATCCTATTTGGAATAAGGGAATTTCCCTTAAAGAAAGGGAAACGTTGACAGCTATGCACTGTGCTCCCATCTTCTTTCTCATTCCCTCCATTCATAAGGCAAAATAACCACATCCGATGCCCTTTTAAATGTGTTGTTGCTGGGCAGATGATTGGTTTGTTTCTGGTCTTATTTTTATTTGTATTTTGTGGTTTTTATATTGTAATTTTATGTTGTGAGCTGCCCTGAGATCTATGGGTATAGGGCAGGCTTCCTCAACCTCGGCCCTCCAGATGTTTTGAGACTGCAATTCCCATCATTCCTGACCACTGGTCCTGCTAGCTGGGGATCATGGGAGTTGTAGGCCAAAAACATCTAACAATAACTACCGCCTAAGAGCTTTCCGTGCGCTGCTCTGGTTCGCCGGAAGCGGCTTAGTCCTGCTGGCCACATGACCCGGAAGCTGTATGCCGGCTCCCTCGGCCAATAAAGCGAGATGAGCGCCGCAACCCTAGAGTCGGCCACGACTGGACCTAACAGTCAGGGGTTCATTTACCTTTACCTAAGAGCTTTGGTTGAACTGTTTGACATCCTTTTAAAACGTGGTTCTTTTTGGGGGGGGCGTGTTATTGGGTAGCTGTTTTTATTCTGATTATTATATATGTTATCATTTCTGGGAACCGCCCTGAGACCTCTGGGTACAGGACAGTATATAAACTCAGTAAACAATAATAAGAGCTGACAAAGAGAAAGTAGGGCTGCAGTTCAGGTAACGAAACACACAGCACATTGCTAATAATAATAATAATAATTTATTTATACCCCGCCCATCTGGCTGGGTTTGCCCAGCCACTCTGGGTGGCTTCCAACAGAACATTAAAATACAATTGTCTATTAAACATTAAAAGCTTCCCTAAACAGGGCTGCCTTCTGATGTCTTCTAAAAGTCTGGTAGTAGTTGTTCTCTTTGACATCTGGTGGGAGGGCGTTCCACGTTCCATGTTTACTCAGTCCTATTGAATTCAATGGGGCATATTCCCAGGTAAATGTGGTTAGGACTGCAATCTTAATCTTAATCTACTAATCATATGGCCCTTCCCTGATTACTTTCACAAATGTGAATAAAACTCTTGCATTATTTTATGTTTAAGAGGCTAAGAGACATTGTACTGCTTTTATAAAATGCCTTTATCCAGCTCCAAGTCTTTAGGAGGTACTGTTCAAGCAGCTGTTAATGACAACAAGGCGATCTCTTTCCCTTCTCTGCTTTTTAATGCCCATTTCCTTCTCTCTCATCCTCCCTCCAGACCCACCAGGATGTCAAGCGCCAACCCCTCGGGTCACAATTGGAACCGGAAGCCCAAAGCGGAGGAGGAAGAGGACGATCCCTTTGACAAAATGATCTCCCGCACCGGCTGCGCCTCTTTCCACTATGCGGTGCAGGAGTGCATGGCTGAACACCAGGACTGGCGCAAGTGCCAGGAGCAGGTGAAGAGTTTCAAGGATTGCATGATGGAACATGAGAAGCAGAGGATGGCCGAGCTGCTCAGAAGACAGAAACAGCATCAAACCACAAGCTGACAAGAGCCAGCTTTGCACGAAGGGCAGTTCCCTTGCTTGGCGGAAGTATTTAAATAATGGCAGTGGAGCACAGAGGTTGAGCCCTGGGAAACGGTTGCTGTGGGAGGTGGTTCAAAGAGATGGCAAGCAACTGCATGCATTGCTCTTGCAGTAATCCCCTGGCTAAATTCTTCTGGTTTTTTAACAGAACAAGCAATACTTACTTTCTTGCCAAAAAATAAAAGGTGGAATTTATATGTCATCTTCATTTTCTTTGTGGTTTAGGGTTTTCTAAAGATGATGTTATTGTAGAGATAAGCACATCCTTATCACTCTCAATTATTTTCTGTCCCTTAATGCGTACAAACTTAACTGCGGTCCTGGACCAGACTGCTTAGTTGGCATTCATGAATCCTGCACCTATCCCACACTGGATGTGATTATCTAGATTATCATTCAACCGGATTAGGTGGGGGGGGGGAATTGTTTAGGGCAGGTCAGACTCGTGTTGTACAGTGGTGCCCCGCAAGACGAATGCCTCGCAAGACGGAAAAACCGCTAGACGAAAGGGTTTTCCGTTTTGAAGTTGCTTCGCAGGACGAATTCCCCTATGGGCTTGCTTCGCAAGACGAAAATACCTTACGAGTCTTGAGATTTTTTTTCGCTTTTCCCCCCCTTTATCTAATCTGCTAAGCCTTTAATAGCCTTTAATAGCCTTTTAGCAGCTAATCCCCTAAGCCTTTAAGCCTTTAATAGCCGCTAAACAGCTGATAGCGCTAATAGCGCTAATCCGTCAATGGGCTTGCTTCGCAAGACGAAAAAACCGCTAGACGAAGACTCTTGCGGAACGGATTAATTTCGTCTTGCGAGGCACCACTGTATATGCACACGGAACTGCTTTTAAGACCCAATTCACAGAATGGGGACGAAATCTGCTAGAGAGCTCTTATTTGTGTTGATTTCAAAATCCAGATGTTGTCTTTGAGGCTACACTACTGGACAATTTGCTTTGGCACCCACAACCCAGGTTCCAGGAGCCATGTGGGGAATTGCTTTTATATCCTAGTTTCTAACACCGCCAGAAGCTGAATATTTCTTTACGACAGGATGGGACAGGTCCCCCACCAGACGTGAGAGCGGCAGCCCAGCTCAGGGGGCACATTACAGCTCAGGTCTTGATAACACCTTAACATACTGTATTTTTCGCTCTATAAGACGCACCCGACTATAAGACGCACATAGTTTTTAGAGGAGGGAAACAAGAAAGGAGCGTTCCAGCCTCGCTCAAGAGGCTTTGCGTGGCTATCCCTGAAGCTAGAAGAGTATGAGGATGAGGATTTTGTGCGCACCGATCCCTCTTGCTCTTCTGGCTTCTGGGATAGCTGCGCAGCCTGCATTCGCTCCATAAGATGCACACACATTTCCCCTTACTTTTTAGGAGGGGGAAAGTGCATCTTATAGAGCGAAAAATACGGTACACACACACAATACACGCACACAAACACTCAATAAACTGGTTGGGCCTGCCCTGTACAGAGTGCTGAATTGCCAGTACTCTATCCAGAAAACCTGAGGATTCTGCTTCCAGATTCTGTAAGCAGAAGTCTAAATTGATACAGGTGACGCAATGAACTTTTGCTTAACTCCAGCAGCAGAAATTGCCTCATTTTACGGCACACTGCAGAAGCACGCCATAAAGATTAAACCATTTATTATGAAAAAACAGACTCGTCGTGACAGCGTTGGCTTTTGCAGCAAACTCAGAGGTCCACTTCCACCGTGTCGTGGAACGTTGCGAAAAGGTCCGGCGATGGGCCACAAACCCCGATGTGAAACGGGTATTTGTAATGTGCTGGACTCAGCTCATTTGAGAAAGCAGGTCCTCCAGTTCTGGACGAGCCTTCAGCCGAACTTTGAAGTCTTCTTCCGTGTGCTGTGGAGGGACGGGGAGGGAAAATCAACAACAGCAGGACGTTATAGATATTAGCATATGGTTACCAGTTTTTTCCCCAATGAATCTGGGGATACTTTTTTTTAAGCTGAGTAGCAACAGGGAGTCAGTAGTGGGGATGGTGAGGCAAAAGACCCTGGGCCCAAGCACACATACATATTGTATAAAGGTGCAAAGCCCTTTTGCGCCCTGTGAAACATAAATGCGCAGTTTTTAAAGAATGGGACAATGGTGTGCCGCCTGTCCATGACTCCCAAGCCTTTCCTGATCTCCTGCCCCCTTCCCCCTTTGTTTTGACAGACTGGGGACAGATTGGGGCTCAGGAGTCGCAGGCGGGTGGCCGTTGCCCAGTTTTTGAATAACTGCGCATTTATGTTTCGCAGCGTGCGAAAGAAGGGCTTTGCACCTTGCCTGGCAGAGAAACCACATGCCTTGCGCCCCTCCTGGGCAATGGCCGCCCGCCCACAACTCCTGAGCCTCCCCCGATCTGCGTGAGAGAGGGAGGTGTGTGTGTGTCCTGGAGCACTTCTCAGAACCTGCTTCTTAACAACAGTTTAAAAGCCAGGAGCCACAACGCTAAACCTGAATGCTTCAGTAAGAATCCACATACCTCTTTCACTAACAGATGGACTCCTTCCGGCCGATTATTCTGAACAATTTCCAAGAGAATAGGAGCAAATGCAGCATTCAAACCGCTGATCTGAAGGGGAAGAGGAAAAAAGAAGCCGAATGGATCGTTACAGGGGAAGGGGAAGAGAGCAACACCCCCCCCCCACAAAACCAGGCTTATTATGTTATCAGCACACATCATTATGGTAAGGTGAAAGTACACAAAGGCTTTCAGAACCATATAATAAGAAAATCAATTTTTAAAGCATGGGAAAAGTATAAAGACTTATTAGAACAAAAAACGCCTTGGTGGCTTTCCCCGTTAGAAGCAATATCTTTGAAGAAAGTGAATATGAGGACTAATTGGCCAACATATAGAGAGCTGTTAAAGCACGCAAAATTAAAAGATTTTGAAGAGGTGAGAGAACTGGTAACAGGTTGTTTACAATATCATCAATTAAATGATTTTTTAATAAAATTGATAAAAAGAAAGGTTTTAGTTTTAGCTATCAGTTATTAAGATTTCAAAGAGAGATTTTAGAAGATAATAAGAAATTATGGTTGAAAATGTATAATTTGCTCCTGAAATGGGAAACAATAGAGGAACAGGTCAAATCTGTGATGATACAATGGGTGAAAAATGTGGGACATAATATACAAATGACAGACTAGGAGAAGTTACGGAAAATAGAACTGAGATTTACAGCATTTTTTTTAATTGAAAGATAATTAAATGAAAATGATGTACCGGTGGTATTTGACCTCGGTAAAACTAGCAAAAATGTACAGAACAAGTACCAATATATGCTAGTAATTTAAAGAAGAGTAACCTACCTTTTTATCATATGTGGTGGACTAGTAATGTAACTAAAAAATTATGGGAAATGATATATAATGAAATGAAAAAAATGTTCAAAATAACTTTTGTTTAAAAACCAGAAGCTTTTTTATTAGGAATTATAGGTACAGTGGTACCTCGGGTTAAGTACTTAATTCGTTCCAGAGGGCCGTTCTTAACCTGAAACTGTTCTTCACCTGAAGCACCACTTTAGCTAATGGGGCCTCCCACTGTTGCCGCGCCGCCGGAGCACGATTTCTGTTCTCATCCTGAAGCAAAGTTCTTAACCCGAGGTACTATTTCTGGGTTAGAGGAGTCTGTAACCTGAAGCGTATGTAACCCAAGGTACCACTGTACTGATATCCCAAAGAACCAGAGGAAATTGTTCATGTATGCTACAACGGCCGCCTGGATGCAACTAGCCCAGAGATGGAAGGAAGAGACAGTTCCGACCAGAGAATAACGGTAGATCAAGTTGATGGACTATGCCAAAGTTGCAAAATCAACTGGGAAGCTCGGGAATCAAGAAGACCAGAAATTTTAAAAAGAATGGGAAATGTTTATAATGTACATACAAAATCATTGTAAACAGGTCAAAACATTAGCAGGCTTTTAAATACACTTCTAATGTAACAGAATGTATAGATAACTTAGGAAGAAGAAAAATTGGAGAAGCACTGATATGCAGATTCAGGTAGGTAGCCATGTTGGTCTGACGCAGTCGGAAAAAATTAAAACACTGTCCAGTAGCACCTTAGAGACCAACTAAGTTTGTTCTGGGTATAAGCTTTCGTGTTCATGCACACTTCTTCAGATACAGATACTGATATGCAGTTGAAAATAGAATTAAAGGGACCCATGGAAGGGATGGGGAGGAAGTCAGGAGATTCAGAGTCATCTCAATATCTGGATTTTGTACTATTTTATGTTGTATGTTTATATTTTGGAAAATCAAATAAAAAAGATTATGGGGGAAAAGAGCCAGTTTCCAGCAGGAAGCAAAGGCACAGTGTGAAACCAGGATTCTTACGTTGGTCTGCCACTGGCCTGAAAAGAGGCGTTTCTTTATTACTGTCATATCCAATCCTTCCTCTGAAGGGGATAGATGTGTCTTCCCCCGTTTTATACATGGAGAAAAAGACTTGACCTATGCCAGCTACTGAGCTTCACAGCGGCGTATCTCTGTTCTGGTCTCCCTTGTCCAACACTCTATTCCAAAGGTGGGGAATTGACCTCCCCTACCTGTGGGTTAAACCACAGAGCCTAGAACTTGCCAATCAGAAGGTCGGCGGTTCAATTCCCCGCAACGGGGTGAGCTCCCATTGCTCGGTCCCTGATCCTGCCAACCTAGCAGTTCGAAAGCACGTCAAAGTGCACGTAAATAAATAGGTACCGCTCCGGCGGGAAGGTAAATGGCGTTTCCGTGCACTGCTCTGGTTCGCCAGAAGCGGCTTAGTCATGCTGGTCACATGACGCGGAAGCTGTACGCCGGCTCCCTCGTCCAATAAAGCGAGATGAGCGCCGCAACCCCAGAGTTGTCCGCGACTGGACCTAACGGTCAGGGGTCCCTTTACCTTTACTCGCTACTGTAATGTGTGCACAGGAGTTCCACCAAGATGATCAAAGTAGAGCAGTGGGGCTTTAAAATGACTGCATCTCCAGCACTGCCCCTGTTGTTTTTAGTGTACTCCAAAGAAGAGGGAGGCAGGTGGTGCTGTGGTCTAAACCACTGAGCCTCTTGGGCTTGCCGATCAGAAGGTTGGCGGTTTGAATCCCCACGACAGAGTGAGCTCCCGTCGCTCTGTCCCACCTCCTGCCAATCTAGCAGTTCAAAAGCACGCCAGTGCAAGTAGATAAATAGGTACCACTCTGGCGG